ATGTAGATTTGAGTGTCATCAGCATAGAAATGAAATGACATTTTATGCTTCCGGAGAATATCAGCGACAGGAGAAGTGTAGAGGAGATAGAGAACCGGGCCCAGGACGGAACCTTGAGGAACACCACAACCAAGCGGAAGAGAGTCGAGCATGCTTATGCAACAAGTCTATCCACAGGTTTACCAAGCACTGGGCTACCTGTGGATATATAGTCACCGACTTGTGAGGACTTTACAAACTTCATTTTTCGCGTACTATAGTCACAGACTTGCGAGGACTTTACAAACCTCATTTTTCACGAAATATAGTCACCGACTTGTGAGGACTTTACAAACTTAATTTTTCACGTACTATAAACACCGACTTGTGAGGACTTAACAAACTTCATTTTGATTTACAACTCCTTGCAAAGTACTTAAACTTATGATAATCACTGTAGATTACTATCACATCACGGCTTAATACTTAAACTTACCATTGTCGCCTCAGGTGGTGCACAGAATTGACCTTGATATTGTTCGTGGAAGTAATGCGTTCCGTCAAAAGATACCGTAAAATGCACAGCGTTGTTGTATAAAAGTGCTGGTGTTTGTTTATCGTACATCACCCACTGTGGATTGTAATAGTGGTGCCCGAAAACCGCTGGATTCGATGTATTTGGTAGTGTGTTATCCATATTTTTCTGAGAGGACGATGCTGGTTCATCAAGTTTTTTCGAATCTTCCTCTTCCATTTTATATTTTTTTCTCGACTTTTGTACTATTTGTGTATATTTTTTTGTCCTTTTCTTGTTTACATTGGTGGCGTTCTTCGTCAGTTGTTTTGGTATTTGTACAAACGAAACTGGCACGCGCAGTCTCCTTCTCTATTATGACATCATGAATAGAAAGCGTGTCCAGTACTCGTGCGCCGTTTTGCGCGCGCGCGTTTTCATTCATTGAGAGCACCCCCATTTTTATTGGTAAAGCGCACAGGCAGCCACGCCTTATATTCTAGTATTTTCTCTATTAATTTTTGCATTTATATTGCGTTTTTAATCGCACATATTCTTTCGTTCACGCGAAAGCATAGCCGTTTGAATTCACCAGTTTCTTTGGTTGTATATCTTCTTCAAGAAACATATATATCTCTACAGGAGTACCAGCACCCAAAGTTTTTATTTAAATAAACTTCAGCATTGATTACATTGATGTATATGTGCTTAGCATGAAAGTAGTTTTTGGCTGTATGTCGCAAGGCCGATTCGTTCGTTTTTAATGGAAAATGCCTACTCGCTCCTAGGCCCATGACCCCCTGATTCCAAACGAAGGGATAAGGGCCTGGAGACGAGATTTTGAAAATGTTCGCTTTACTAAAATACAGATATTTTCACTGTGTAACGGAACTTCAATTACTCGCGGTCGCCCTCGGGATTTTCCTAACTGATCATTTAATAGAGGTTGACAGGTTAAATAGTGAGTGAATATTTGGGACTTTAACTGAATTGCGACCACCTAACAGAGGGTGACCGCTAAGAGAGGTACCGCTGTATATAGCATATTTTCTGTTATGAATAGCGATTACACCTGTCTGATCAACACAGATTCCTGATACGACTTATTCAAAAAGCATTGTCTCAACAAAATCGAAAAGCTCGAGAGTAAGGCATGCTGGGATATACCCTGCCTTTAGGAGATTATAGACCCCTTGCAGTTCATGGGAATGCAGCACCAACTGGAGGAAAAAAAGTGGATTTTTATTCCCAAGAAGGCGTAAGTCCTTACGCAAGAGGTCTAAAACTATCCTTGATCATGCACACCTATCCTTCACTTTGAAGTCACGTCTTGTATAAAGCTTTTGGCCAAATGTTCTAGATAAATAATATCTTGGAATAAGGGCGAATTGTGTCCTTACTATGAATCTCACAGATGAAAGATATGGGCAACACTTATTGAATAAGGTGTAAATAACAGCAGAATATGAAAATCGTCAAACTCGAGAAATAAATTTTGTTTTGATGACTTTTCCAATACTCTGCTGTCGTTGCTCTCTACACTGAACAGCACCTTAAGTCAAGTTTACTAGTTTATATGTTAAAATCTTTCATTGTAGCGTTCATGAATGAATAAAACCCGAGAAACGAAACGAAACGAAGCAAAAATAATAATAAATAAATAAATAAATAAATGGAAATGATAACTTGAAGTTGCTTTGAGGTTCTTTTTACTGATAATTTTTGTGAGCCGGACCTGTACGTATAAAAACGCGCAGCCAAACTTAAATAAAAAAATGGAAATGGAAATGCTTCTCTATCTTGTGCTTTGATTTCTAATCCAATACAACTACAATTACTTTGATAGATTACTACATAACTGACTGTTCTATACTTCAATCAACATGATTACCTATTTCAAGAACTTTCTATTACCATACATTATAATTAGTATAATCAGCATAAATTATGATAAGAAGATGCATAAATTATGATAATCATAGATGAAATATGACAAAGATGAAAGAAAGCTGACTGCGAAAATGAATATATTGATTAAGTTTAACTTAATCAATAATCCAGTTTCGAATTCTCCAATGCTCTGTGTTAGCCTCATTTGCGCGCAAATATTCCTAATTGTGAGAATAAAAGTGTGAGATTTCAAATCAATTCTATTGTCTTTCTTTTCAAATTCCATGCGTTTTCTTGGGCTATCAATGAAACAAAAGAATATGTTGCTTGGTTTTGAGGCTAACACAGAGCAAACAAGAAATCGAATCGGAGTATTTGCCGAGCATGGCTGCCAAAACATAACAAGGGAGCTAAAATCTAACGTGGTTGCCAAAATCCAACATGGCTGCCAAAATCCCGAAGCTGTTTTCTAGTTAACATCGTAAAAAAATTGTTTAAATATATAATTTTTTCCACGATCATCATTGTAAGCATAATTGAAATTAGAACCAAAAAATGTTAACGAACATCTAACTCATTTCTTTCTTCTCTGAAAGTCCTTTAAAATCTAAAGCTCACTTCTCTAATCAGAGTTACTAGGTGATCACAAATATTCGAACAACAGTAGCTAATGGTTTTAAAACGATGCTTGTATTTACACCCAACACCTTGCACCCGTTTTTCCCAACACCGCATGCATTTTAACTCGTGGATTGTTCATCACTCACTCACTCAGCAATCATGGTACATATAGCTATTTCAAAAAAGGTTGTCGGATAAAATGGCGAATGGCAATGGTCGAACGGCGATTGCACGACCGAAAGTAGCCATGGGTTTTGCTAGKTGAAAGGCAATAACAACTGATTTGTACTGTAAGATGTTCTTTTTAAATATAGGCTCCATTTAGTCTCCATTTCTATGTAAGGTGAATTCAATAGGTGAAATTTTGTTTATCAAAACAGTGTAACCATAGTCCCTTTCGACCGTGCAATCTCCCTTCGACAATCGCCGTCCGCCGTTCTCCCCGACAACGTTTTTTGAAATAGCTGTATACCCATTGCTTATATATATTACATAAAAAAATCCTTAGGACAGGTTCAAACGCTTAACTTATAATAGCCGACTTTAGATATTTTGTTTCAGTGACCATGCACAAAAGAATTGCAGACGAAGCTCCGGGGAAATAAAAGAATAAATCAAGATTATCCATTGTTTTGTTTTGTGTATCGCCACTGAAACAAAATATCTAAAGCCGACTTAATTGTGTCAGTAAAAGAAATTTATAAATAAGATTTCGTCCACCACAATGACTTATACACGATGAATAATAAAAGCTTGAATATGGTACGGGAAAACATCAACACAACTGTTTCTTCAGAAACACTGACGCAGCTGACACTAGTTTACTGCTAGTTTCCACACAAAAGAATCAAGACAAGCCGCCGTGCATAAAGCTCAGTCAATCGTGAAAAACTATTGTCTTTTCACGAATGACGGAGCTCTGTGCATGGTACCACGCCTTGATTCCTTTGTGTATGACTACTGAGGTAAAATTCGTAACTTGGTTATTCAAAGAGGTGTAACAAAATAAATGTCAAAAAATCACCGGGACTCTGTTTGTAATCAAGCATTGTTTTGTTTCGCTTCTCCGTTGTTGATGATGTTTACATCTTTAGTTGACAATGGAGGCTCTTCATCTTTACCTTTGAAAGAATAAGCATCGTTTCCTAAAAGTGAAGATCAATATTTACATGGATTTGCATGTCTATAAAGACAAAAGGAGCCGACGGGGTCTGTTCTTCTAAATAACTGTTCTTGTACGATTATTTTTTCCTGGGAAAGGGATTTTGAGCTACATTGATGACAATCTCACAAGCAAATGCGGCGTCCTTCTTTCTTTAAAATAGTTTTATTCCTGGCAAAAGTTTTTAAATTCTAAAAAGGCTTATATAACGTTTTTATGGTCAAAAACGGCTTACATTTTTTTTAGTTAGGAAATTAGTATTTTCCTGGCAAAAATTCTTAGAAAGTATTCCTTGCCTGGAGAGTTCTTTTTTCCTGAATTTCTCGCTGGCAACCAGTTGTAGTTTACAGCTGGCTGGGACATAAGAACAGATATATTTCTCCTAGGAACCCGTCGGCTCCTCCTAATACAGAGGGCGTCACCATGGCTACTTAAAGAGCGCAGTTAGTTGCCATGGATGCCAATAGCTACTAATATGGTCTTACCATTACAATTTACAGAACGTTGCCTGTAGACTACTGACAGTCCGATACAGTCCGATTGAATATTGATTAGTTTACAGTGTTAATTGTAAATGATATGTAAATATACTGTAAATTCAATTTACAGACCAAATGTCTTTTTACAAAGTTTGTGAATTTTATATATATTCTGTAAATATCTTGTAAGTTTTGGTATCAAACATTGTACATATCTTTTAAAATCAATTTACAAAGTTTGCAAAAGGACATAGCGTTCCCTCACTTATTTATTAAGCGTTAGTATGACTACCTCCAAGGGGTTAAAAGTTCGTTGCCATAATTATTGACACAGTGTTATCATGACTGTTTACAGTTTGGTATGACTACTAATCGAAAATTGCCCTGATCACATAAAGGCCGTTTCCATGACAATTGACAAGTCGTTACTATGCTATGCTATCATAGCTACTTACTGGGAGCGTGGGGCACGCTAGTAACGGAAGAGCATGATGAATCATAACTTTGGCTCATGTTAGACTCAGATGAATTTTTACCACTTTTAGCCGGAAGGGTGCTGAACTGCGAGCCATCATCATCGCCTGGCTTCTTGTTCATAATGTACATCACCTTCCAAAATAGACATACAATCATTTCAATTGGTGTTTATATTCGAAAAAGGTTAACTGAGATCGATAGGAATTGTGGGAAATCAAAAGTCGGAMTTAGTTTCCTACTCGGACATGTAAGGTCCATTCTCGTACCCAAAACATCTCTCGTTCCCTCTCGGCCAGTCTCTGGAAACCCCCATGAAGTTACATGGTTGTGTTTATAAGATCTGGGTACTACAAGAATAGACCTTTACTAAAATACATTATCATAGTGCATTATGGTCTACATTCAGTACAAACAACGCCATATTTGGCTGCATGAACAAAAGATGTTTGCACCGAGACCACAATGCAATGCAAACTGCTATCTCAGAAATGCCGCGCTCATGATGTAATGTCATGAAGGTCGCTCATCGAAGCATGTTTCATTGACTCTCACTTGAATTTTTCATTATAGCCTTTTTCATATAGATCAAAACAACCAAGTTGCGTGACAACTTTACCTTGGGCACAAAGATGAGGCATTGCGTAACAGTGGTACAAAGGACGCAAAGTAGCGACATCATGCCGTAGACGATGCTGACATTGTCTTTGATCACGTGCAAAATAGGAATGACAAGAATGCATGGGACGATGACGTTATAGATGGAGATACCAATCGTCTTGGAGTCGTTCAACACTGCGATTGAAACCTTTGGGAAGATATGATCGACATCATTTTAGTTCCGTTAAAAAAGTGAAATAACTTACTGACGTTTCGGACGTTAATCCTTCGTCGGAGTAAAAAGATGGAACTAGGTAAAGTGTGAGTTTATGTAATAAGAGGAGCAAAGAAAGTACACAAATAGGAGCAAGTTATAAATAACGAGAAATATACAAAAGCAGGAGACAAGAGAGGTGTTAAAAAGGAGAACAAAAGATATTGAAATAACTCTCACTTTACCTAGTGTCATCTCTTTACTCCGACGCAGCTCATACTAGTTTACCGCTAGTTCCCATTGTTTTAGTTCATATGATTGGGTGAAAGGGATTCGCGTGACCCGTGAATATCAATTTAAAACATGCTCATTACAATAATGTCATTAAAATCCAGGAAGACATAAAACTTTTAAATTACAGAAAGTGTATGGTTGGAATATCCATGCATTTCTTTGCCAGAAAAAATGTAGATATATCTCTTAAACCTTATATCCCAGACTACTGTTCTTTGTAACTCACTTGGAATAGTCTTCTTCACGGTTCCCTGCGCCATCTTGAAAGGTAGCTGTGCCTTTAAATCGAAGCGAGATGACTGTTGAGTGTGCAACGATAGACACCCGTGAATTGTCAGTAGGTGTGAAAGAAGGTTTCTATCATTGCACGCTCAACGGTCGTCTAGCTTCGATGTAAAGGCACGGCTACCTTTCAAGATGGCGCTGGGAACCGTGAAGAAGACTATTAACTAAAATTTTTTAAAGCTTCTATTACGCGTGTGATTTCGCGTGTTAAGTTCCCATAAAATTTGAAAGGCTAATATTGATTATCGGCCATTTTGAAAAACGCCATAGTCCATTTGTTGATATGACGTATCCCATATCCTGGTAGGACCAAAGACAACAGTCTGTTTAGCCCGGGGGGACTCCCTAATATCAAAGGGCGGGGGTCCTCGACGGAGATTGTGAAAATGACCCCTAAAAGGGACCTCTATTGTGAGATGATGGRCGTGGCAGTGCTGAMATTTCAACCCTAAAAGGGACCAATCAATAACAGGTCATTTTGTTTTGGTTTACCGATTTTATTTGTGTTTTTACACAATCATCGAACACCATCGGCTCGTATTGAGTTTATGACGACSTTGCCATTTTATGACTKCTTAGGGTCGCCGTATACCCTAAAAGGGACCACAAAACTCAGTTGGTAGGAATTATTGTCATGATCACCCTAAGCGAGACCAAAATACTGATTTCAAACCCTAAAAGGGACGCCGAGGACCCCCGCCCTTTGATATTATGGAGCCCCCCCCCCCCCCCCCCGGGCTGTTTAGTCAACATGATATAGAAATAAAGGAAAGTTATAGTGCTTAGAAGGAGGTTATTCAGAGAGAATTGGAAATAAATGATCGAGAAACGCAACTAGCAACCTCCTTCTAAACACTATAACTTTCCTTTTTCATGCAGTCCTCTCATATGTTTAATTAATACCTTTCTAGTCTCCCAAGCCAGGTAGGTACCGAAGACGAGAAGGAATCCCTTGTATCCATACAGTATTCCTGTCCAGACCGTCATATGTTTGCATGTGCAGTGACTGTATTGAGGTAACAAAATCGCATCACCGTCTTTGAGGATCTAAAAATATAACAATTATATTTAAAATACAACCATAACTGACCAATTCCTGAACCGGGACTTTTGCCATCTGTCTTTTAAAACGTTCAATACTGATTGCTATGGTACTGTGGAGTGCGTTTTAAGACTGAAATGCATTTTTGGTCATTCTGTCACCGCCGATCATGCCAAGGTACGAATCACTAGTTTTGTTCTTTCTTCAAATCAGTATTACGAAGCAGTAAACCTTCATTGGGCCATTAAAATAATACAACTGAGCAAGTTGATTTTAATAGAAGGACTGCATGCAGAATGCCCTTCTCGTATAAATCTAAATCCGTCTATCTTTCCATCGCTTGCGAACCTTCCACAAAACTCCTCCTGACAAAAATACTTCATAATGCTGGACAGGATTAAACCCAATAAGTGAAGTCTTTAACACACAGTCACGCCAAGAAACTTTATTTTAAGGAAACTAGTTTCGTCCCAGATTAGACCTTTTCAATTCCTTAAGTTTACTTAGTTTAGGTCATTACCCGTCAGAATAGTTAAACAAACTAAACTCTGGGTATGATAATTTTGCAATTTAAAAGTCACACTTGACGGTTTTTGCCTAGTTTTACTGTAAAATTAACGTCACGAATCAATGGGTGCATTCAAACTTCGCGCTAGTACCATGTAATGTCCCGGATGGATGTCAGTCAATTCTGCCCGATGTCTGAAAAGGTCTATTCTGGGACGAAACTAGTTTTCCTTAAAATAAACTTTCTTAGCGTGACTGTGTGTTAAAGACTTCACGTATTGGGTTTAATCCTGTCCAGCATTATGAAATTGAAAAAGTCTTTAGATGTTCGAATTTTACAAATATCAAACAGACAAAAATACTGTTACAAGTCTTCTGGAAGGTCCAGAAATTGCTGTAAGCCTTGTGACAAAATTAGTAGGACCATCATACCTCGGGCATCATGTCAACAACGGTCACGTACAGTGGATCCAAAACTTGCCAACAGATCAGAACAATGACATCAATGACTAGGAAGGCCACCACAAGACCAAACAGCTGATGGTCTTTGATCACCTAAAATAAAATATGAAAATAAACTTGTTAATGGTTGTTACTTCTGCCACAACTTAAAAAATTCTTTAATGTCAGTTGTCCCCATTCTGCGGTGTGTATCTTTTTTTAACGCTTTTATGAGCTAACGTTTTAGTGCATCGTGACGCATTTTGCCACAGGGAGCCCAAGCAATGACTATATAGGGAGGGGAAATGTTTTAGAACTCATTTATAATGCATTGTGACACTGAATAAAATAAAAGTAGACTATGTTTTTAAGTAAAATTTTATTTTTAACTATTATAGGTTTCAAAGTCATTGCTTGGGCTCCCTGTGATTTTGCTAGCTAAAAAAAGAAGCTGTCAGTCATTAGGAAACGAGAATATGTTTAACCAATGAAATGACAGAAGCCATTGAAATGTTCGGCGCGCGTTTGCAAACCCTTTGAATATCATCGAGTTTTGTTCTGCAAAACCAGGTCAAAATCAACGGAAAATCGAATAAAAATCCACAGGAAAACATAATTTACAGTCATTAGAACTCGAGGAAGAGGATTTAAACGTTTGAGGAGTAGCGGGCTAGGGCAAATAGTGAAAACCAATCTTTGAAAGTAAGAGCAAGAAACTGAACAGGTAAGTTGGACTAACATTACATGTAACTTCTTAAAGTGATTACAACATTTGAGGATTATTTCCAGACTGCTTTTATGAGAAAAAGGATTTCAGTCCAATTAATAAGTCGTTGTGAAGTCGTATTTCCAGAATATGTAGAACTTTTTCAGCTTTTAATACTTAAGATAAGCTTAATACTTATATTCCTTTTGTTTTTAAATGATCGGACTTAATAACACGACTAGTATTAAAACCAAGGACATTAACAAGTTATAGAAAAACCGAGTTGCTTTTTTTATCGAATTAAATCGCGTATTAATTACTATAGATACTCAGATACTCAATATCCCACCTTTCTCTCTGTCTTGTTCAAGAAAATCACGTGTACTCTCCAGGTTTTGGAAAACAGTGCGCCAAACGCCAACGTGAATCCAATGGACACCATCCATGCTTGTACCTTGATAAACGAGATTGTTTTTAAATATATAAAAGCTTAGATTTCAAGTAATAAGTAAATTAGAAAAGTATAAACGGCGCGCGTGTCAGTGTCCTCTGACACTGTGGGGTGTTGAAAAATACGAGAGAAGCAATCTACGCTCGTGTTTCTCTTGCTTCTCAAATTTTGCCTGTAAGCCGTGTCTCTGTCCTCTAATATAAAAACGGTCGTTAGCCAATCAGAGCGCTCTTTATATATCAAAAATTTTATAAAAATAAGTAAGGTAATAAGCAAAGGGTAAGATACCATTCAGTAGCTCAAAGCAAAGTCCAGTAAATTTTACCTGGCATATAAGTTTTTGTGCTTTCTCAGAAACAAATTGCCCATCGACACCGGCTGCAATACCCGAGGCGTAAATCAAGATACACCCGGTAAGGATGATGTTATTAAGACGAGGACTGGACATCTTGATATACCTAAAGCAAAGTTGGACAGCGTATTAATCAAGGGAAAAAGGGAAAAATCCAACATATCACCACACTACCCTCCCCAGTCAGTGATTTACATAACTTTATCTAAAAATAGGCATACCTTATATGGCTATATCGAACGTTGAATACCAGGAAGGTGACCTGACATTAATATCCCCACACTACCCTACCCAATCAGTGCTTTACATCCCTACTTCCAATAATACCCTACCTTATATGGCTATATCGAACGTTGAATACCAGGAAAGTGACTGCCATTAATATCCCCACAGCACAGAAGGATGACATAAAATAGAACACTCCCTGTTCGATGTAACGATGAGTTTGGATTCTGTCTGCATGACAAACTGGTTTACTTTGTCCTGTGAATTGCAGATATGCAGTAAGATAATCCTCATTTTATAATAATTTTTATAAATTTTTGGATATATAACGCGCGCTTTGATTGGCTGACGACCGTGTTTATATCAGAGGACAGAGACACGGCTTACCGGCAAAATTTGCTTTTCGCTCGAAAAATTTTATAAAAGAAATATAAAACGGCCGCTTGTGTCTCTGTCCTCTGATATAAACACGGTGGGAGTTGAAAAACACTCGAGAAGCAAGTGAAACACTCGCTACGCTCGTGTTCCAAGCTTGCTTCTCTCGTGTTTTTCGAACTCCCACCGTGTTTATATCAGAGGACAGAGACACGCGCGCCGTTTTATATTTCTTAAACAGTACACCGTGAAAGGTATATTTAAGACCGTAAAAAAGTAGGTGAAGCAACTTACTGACGCGTTTCACCTATTTTTTTACAGTGTTTCATTTATCTTTTTATACAAGTGTTTCTTTAAAAACACCGACGCAGCTCACAATAGTTTACCGCTAGTTTCCACCATATTGAAAGGTAACCGAGCCTTGTTATCAAAGTGAGAGAGTGGTAGAGCTGGCAATGATAAATACCTGTGAAAATTGTGTTAGGTGCGAATGAAAAGTATCTATCACTGCGGGCTCAGTTCCCGTCTTGCTCTGATGCAAAGGCTCGCAACCTTTTAAAATGGATTTGGGAAATTGAAAATGTAGTATTAAGCACTGTTGTCCTTTTCTGAATATATCAGAAACCTAACTAAAAAGTGACTTTTTATGAGAGTTTTAATAGCCTTTGCTAGTCCATTAATGTTGTACAAGACATGGTGAATATGCACATTGCTTCAAATTTTCTACCACTTTATTCGGTTTCAAGTTTCGTCCCACATCTTCTTACCTTGCCATTTAGGCTCTGCGTTATCCAACAGCTTTAGTTTCTTTGTTACCATACAAAACATTCCAATGTTAGTAAGCTTATTATCTGTGAAGGGAATAACTTGTGTCAATATTACTATTTGCCAACATTAATTTTAAACAATTTATTACTACACATATCAAAAAATTGTTCTTCGTTTGGCGGCCATATTTGGTAATCTTACCTTATTTCGATATATAAATAAAGCTTGAAATCATCTGAAACTTGCAGATGTGATAGCGAAAACACTTCCAAACAATCGGCCATTTTGTTTGTTTCCATATATGGCATGGATTCGCTAAAGGAAGCCCGAAACTGAAATTCACAGGGATCTCGCACCAATGACATACAATTCTTTGATAAGTTACACATTATGATACCATCATTGATTAGAGGATATGGTACCCAGGTCACTCTCTGGGGACTCTCCGGATGCTTCAAACTTCAAGTTACAATATGTTTGAAATACAACTTGTTGGATGTTAGTTCAAATTCAAGTTTTCAAAACAGATTTGATTACAACAAGCGACAGCCAACTGTCCTGCAAGTTGCTTAAACTCTTAAAGCTAATCAAGGTAGGAAAGTGACTGAATAGTTGTGTAAAAAGATCAATTTAACACCGTAAAAAAAGGTGAAACAACTTATTAAAGTGGCTGAATATTCACGCACTAAAAGCACAAAATAGTTAAGCAACGCGACGCAATTTGGTTATTTTTTTTCCTACTGTTTCAAAATTAATTGATTATGACAATCTTTCCACAAGTCAGTTTTTTTCATTAACTTATATATTTATATATATGATATCAAAGAGGCAAGATTTTGCTGTAACTCCGAGTTTCGTGCTACGCACTCATCAGACAGTATTTAATGATAAACATTCCTATAATCTAGATATATATACATGGTATAGAACAAAAGGCTAAGTGCTAGCCTATATATATCTAGATTATAGGAATGTTTATCATTAAATACTGTCTGATGAGTGCGTAGCACGAAACTCGGAGTTACAGCAAAATCTTGCCTCTTTGATATCATATATATAACTAGCTCTACATTTTATTTGTATTGAGCACTCTTTAATGGGATCAGCCAATTCCTCATACGATTACTTATATATTTAACTAATTGATTGAACAATCGCGCCTGTAGAAAAAGAAAACCACTGAAATTTCTTGTGGCAGAGCGCCGGCTCGCCATTTATCCTATTACTCGCGTAGAAACCCATAAAATTATACCGAGTGTTCACATAATGCGTATAACCTTGACCTTACCTTGTAATTGCTCAATCTGAAGTGTTCCAAGTCGTTCGAACTTTTTGTCAAAAATGAGGTTACCCTAAAAAAGAAATACTCTATGATTATATTCTATAGAAATTAGGATTGCTCGGTTTTAAACCGTTAGAGACTTGGACGAGAAGTGCTTTGTTTCTGACTGGTCGGTTTAGCCATGAAAGCTTTAAAGCTTGAATTCCTTATGTTTGTTTTTTTACCACGCGCGTAATCTTTGTTTCTTGCTTCATTAAAAGCTCCGTAAATTTATTAACGTTAATTCAATAAACCTTTCAATAGCCTGAAATAGGCGTCAAAATTATGACGAGGCGCGCAAAGCATCCAGGTTGATACTGGGATTTTAACACTAACGCTCATGCGAGTAACTGACAAAGAATGGAACAGGGTCATTAAACTTACCGACATTCCTTGAAAGCTAACGGTCTTAATGCTATTCAAGAACATGTCTGCCATGAATTGATTTTCATACGTAAAGTCCTCCAATCCACAACCCTTTGTCTCGTTATATTTGTCAAACTTGCTGAGTGAGTTTTGCAGGGCGAGAGCAGCCGTCCACACCGCATCGTAAGCAAACGATGCGTATGGATTTGGTTCTTTATAACTTTTGAGAGCTTCTGCGAGATATTCATCTTCTAACTTTTTTATCGTCTGCAATGTAGAAAAGAATGTTCGAAGGGCATGAAATAATATGGTTGCGTGATAGAGACTTCTAACGTGACACTTGTTGCTCGAAAAACAGTCTGTCAATCTCATCACCAGAGCCTTTCCATGAGTAAAGAGGGGGAAGTGTATGCTCTCTTGTTCCTTATAAATATATCTGAAATCTCCCCGAAACGTTTTTATCCCATCATCATCCCAAATCATCCCCAAATCAATTACCATCTTGCCTGTTCATGAAACTAAATATCCCTTTCTTCCTAGAAAGAAATACCCGTGATCCCTTGCTTCATTAAATCCCGGGGAGGTGTCACATCAAAAGGGCAGGGATGTCTGGACAAATTTTGATGAGTTATTATACTGTGAAAACATCTCGGAACCGAGGTCCAAAAAAGAAAATATCGAAATACTTTTAAAGTTTGGTTTCTAAAAACTTTTTTTTTATTTCAACCACGTACTCAGTGTATTTTGAACGAAATCTCAATTGGTACTGACAACGTACACCCCAGAGAGTCTTTAGAATAATAAACGTGAAAAGCCTATAGTAAGTAACTTGTTACTATTTTCATCACTAGTGATAAACTTTTCGAAAGTGAGAAATATATCATCTATTTCACACTAGATAATTATATGATGAAGTATATTTCGTCATAAAAACCTTTTCATAAATTTTCTGAAATACAAAGTCATTACAAAGTCATACTGTAGCTTCAGTAATACATAGACACCATTGATTCCTTTGATAAAACATGCTTTTTACTGAATCAAGACCACAATACAATGTGTAATACTATTTCAGAAAAAGTCTATTGTACTCACTCTTTTGGCAATTGTATTTCCACCATTCCCATCATACAACAGGGCCTTGGTGCCAAAGTAGTTCCCAAGCCCTTCCCGGACTTGTTCGGGCGTGCAGCTTGTGTCGTTGACAGTCCACCAGTTTGGTCGATAGCTACCGGACATTAGAACCCACACGTACTTTGGTCCACACATACCTTGCTTGTAGGCCTAACAAACAAAGGAGATATTAATATTATTTGCTTGATAAATTGGATTGTTTTGTTTTGCGATGGTGTTTTACAAGTACAGATACTTTCGTGTGTCTTGTGTGCATTATACTGAAATAAGTGACAGTAACTGTACTCGCTTTCCATTTAGTCAGAATTGGACGGACCTGTCTATTTAAGCAATAAACGACAGCTTGAAGCGGTTTACTGGCGAAATAAACCTCGAGGATGGTTGGGAGAACACGATAAAAGATCTGTAAATCACAACCTGTCAGGCGAGTGATTTCCATTTTCGAGTGTTTAGCCGACGTCCACCATTTAGACTCGATAGTCTTTCAAGACAGCAGGCTTATTTACCGGCGAAATAAACCATAGCCAATCAGCGCGCGTGTTACAATTGAGCTATAATGTAATTAGAAGTAAATAATGCCATTTGTCAACATTTTTCAGTCATTTTCAAAGTTTTCCAATGGGTCTGGCCAGCTGGCTCTGACAAATGGAAAGCGGCCATCCTTCCACCCGTTCAAGTTTCTTTCCTACCTGACACATCACTTGACGAGCTGTGGTTTCTCGAAACATCCCAAACATGATACGCGCGTCTTTTCTCTGTATGTCAGAAACAACAATTTAGAAATCCATTATGAAGAACTAAACTGACCAAGAGGTGGGTGTTAACTGAGAAATATTTTCTCTTCAGCTCTTCCATGTATTCCACCAACAAACGCAAAAACATTCTATTATTTCAACGCTAAGGATTATGGTCTCCAGAGGGTTACAGAGTGACTGCATGTCAAAGAAAATGTAGATGAGCAATCGTTGATATGAGGTCTAGCATCAAAACTAAATTCAATTTACAAAAGAGGCCGTCTAAATTTGCACAGTTTCTGAGCATCTCCCAGCTGTAAACAGGCGGTGTCGTCATGATGCGATAGGGCAATAGGTCTTTTTCATGAAACGGTCACATGGTACTAAATCCGCAATATTTGATGACAAAATCCCCACTAGAATGTTAAAAACAAAGAAAAGTCTTCTTTTCTCTTTATTTTTTTTTAAAGTTGTTTATATTTCTTTGCCATCCAGTACGTTGGATTTAGTAACATGTGACCGTTTCATGCAAAAGTGACTATTGAGTATTCATATAGTTTGCTAGTTAGGCATCCAAATTTACCTTAAGATTTTCAATAGCTAGACTTCCTCCATCGCCCTTAAAGATCTCATGAGATACTATACTAATGTTTGCCTTTTTAAGCCTCTTAACAAGATCATTCGCTAGACCGAGAAATGTATCTAGAGACTCTTGGACTATGCCAACTTGGTGCCAATCGAACTTTTGTATTAGCCCCACACGACCCATATTTTGGTAGTGTTCTGGTGGTACTGTTCGTACGAAGGTTTTGTAGATCTTTTTGCATCCTAAAGCAGGATTTGCATTGGCCATGGAGATCTGCAGAAAAGAAGAAGTTTCTTTTAGGAAATTTACGTTCAGAATCCGTACGAATAGCATTAAATGAGATGCCTGGACGCCAAAGTGTCTATGGTAAATTGGTAATGCTCTTTGTTTGCAAAACAGTTGGAAACAAGGGAAACACGATCGAAAAACAACAACGTATAGCTCAATTGTCTGTGCAAATATCGGAAATTTTGATAAAACTCCTGAAATTTCAAATTATTTTTATTGTCTTCTATACTCACAGATCTCTTGCATTTGCACGGACTGTTAGTGAATAAAAGAATTTTTACATGGTTTTGAGGCTAACACAGCGTAAAAGAGATCGCTAAAAGGGTTTATTCCATGCATGGTGCATCTCGCCGACAACATTAGGGAATCAACCTCGTTCCCAGGCTCATATCCCTTCGCTTGGGGTCAGGCGGCTGACTCAAAGCGAAGAGATAAGGGCCTGGGAATGAGGTTGTTCGGGAATAGGACTATTAGATGACATTCATAAGAAATAAATGAATTTTAGCTGAGGGTATGAATAGATGGGAACGGGAACTAAAAACGGTAAATGAATAATTTTAATGAATAATTTCTCAATGAATAATTTTAATTATTCATTAAAAAAACCCCGATTTTAATAGCCCTTTAAAGAATCATAACCACCCGTCGTACCTTGCGCGCTCGTATTATTGTTTACATACGTTTAAATGCATCAAGCATACAATAAATTATAGATTGATAGTACCTGTACGGTACTTAGTTAAAGGTATTTCTGTCCAAACTGAAAGGATGGAAGACGATTTGCGCTCACTTTCAGAAATCCTACAAATCCGCCATTTTCGTGTCCACCTAAAATGGCGCTTCGGTTCGCAAGGTACGGCGGGTGGTTATGATTCTTTAAGATAGTATTATACAATTTAATTAGCTTAAAATCTTCATGAATATGCACATTACCTGGATGAGATTATAGAAATGAACGGCTTTCGCGAAAGGCTCGGCTGACTCCGAACATCCGGGACCGATGATCATTATCTTTTGCTTGTCTTCTCGCATGTAATCGATGAGTGCTTTGATTGAGTATTCGTTTTTGCACTGCAAAAAAAAAAAAAAAAGAATCCGACCTCAGCATTCCTTTATTCTTTTTCCGTTAATTATCAGTCAATCTAAAAGTTGCTGTCGAATTGAAAAAGATACAAATATGGCGGTAATAGTATACCAGGACGTTTTTTTGTCGCCTCTGAGACTTGATCAAAATGTTGACATTTCTATTACTAGAAAATTTTCAATGCAACAAAATTGTTTACATTTTCCCAATAAATGGAAACGAAGTTTCAGCAGAAATAGAATTCAACACAGTTCAGCGTTTACGCTGATATCCTCATTGTGTAAACGAAAGGCCTATACTGAAAAGCATAAAAAATATCAAAAATATCAGGCTATGTGTACACGCAGTCCGAGTTTCTACGATCTTGCACTCTTTACGGTCATACATCCAAAAACGAATCGCGCTCTCAAAAATATATATATCATATATTATATTATATACAGTATCTTCTCTTTATATGTATGATATCACAAAGGCAAGATTTTGCTGTAACTCCGAGTTTCGTGCTACGCACTCATCAGACAGTATTTAATCTTTAATGGGATCAGCCACTTCCTCATACGATTATATCTTCTCTTTATATTCCTTAATGAATTTCTGGGAACACTAGAGACATATTATTTTTGTGGACCACCGATGGTCGATTCTTCCACTTTATCTTTGCATTTGATAAAAGGTTTATTGATAGCCCGTTGTTCTTCATTAATAAAAAATCACAACAATGAACTAAAAATTACACAGGACGTGTATTTGTGTTTGCAATGAACAGGAAGGGAAAAAATAATCCATCATTGTAAGAATAAATGAGCGAAGTACAAACAGAAATTTAACTCAATTCACACTTGGGGACGTCATTTGCAGGTATTCTTAAGTCGGTTCCAGGTGATGAAAACGTCTCTGAAATCCGTAACTAAGGAAAAATATATACTATACCAGCTGATTTTTCTAACTTTGGGGATTTTTAGGAAGAAATTTGTCGCGAAGAAAGTTGTTGCGTATTTGCTTGTTGTGCCTTCCTCTTTTTTACTTAAACTATTTTTAGTAAAGTTATAAGGAAACTGCAATAATAGCAAGTGTAAAGTTCAGTTCATTTATGTATCGGATTCTAGTTGTGTATTTTGCATTGTATGGAAGAAATTTGTAAATGTTGGCTTTTGATATCAGGCACCGAATTATTCTATTACCTTTGGGCTAATTGTTTCAATTTTTTGAAAGCTAAAATAATATACTTGACAGTTCATTGACAAACAAGCTAAATTCTAACTGACAAATGACATAAGGAACCTCTGCTTACGAAACTACTAGCTACCCTGACATTATTAGCTCCAAAGGAATGGCAGTAAAGGAATTCATATCATTGCTTGCATAAAAGTAGGGACAGAGCTTCCGATAATGCCAGTAACAAGGATATAATGGCTTTTCCTCAATTAAAAAAACTCGTGGATATTATACTACCACATGCGACCGTAAAATTACGGTAAACATTGTCACGTGTTTACCTTAACGTCCTTGATTTCGAGGTTGATGTGATAGTCTTTAAGGATATTCGGGTCTTCATTGACATGCTTCAGCGCCATTTTTACAGCTGGGATCATGTTGGCTGAGCTGTCCGCTGCTACGTCAGTATCAATGTCAAAGATCCCTCCAATTGTTAGGTTCTTCTTTGGCGTGATTTGTGCCGATGGAACGGCCAAAAATGCCAGGCAAAGCCCGACAAATGGGATGGTGACCTAGAGAAGGAATACAAAACAAAAACAAACAAAAAATAAAAACAAACATTAAACAATCAATTTCATGAGTGACCAATAAGATTAAACTGCAAGCAATATAGAAACAATGGGAAATGTGTGCACAATCTCAATTTTTTCTTTGATTCAATGGTAATCTATTATGGCCCTCGAATTTTACTGCAAAATGACATTTCCCAAAACTTGCAAATATATAATAGCGCCTTAAAAAAGATAACGTAACCTTCGAAGATCTTTCCACAATATTTTGTGCTATACATGTATTCTTACTATAAAATTAAATGCGACAATTAAACTCGGGCATCTTTTTCAAGAGTAATGTTTTCTTAGTAGTTCGTTCAAATACTTACTCTTGAAAATGGTGCCTGATTGCACCGAAACGTCGAGTTTATAATTCACTTGTCACATTAAATTTTATAGTAAGAATTGCTGAAAACAAACAACTTATACATGTATTCATTGTGAAATGTAGTAACACACCTAGCACGCAAAGTCACAACCATTGTGCCTACCAAGATTTAACACTGGAAAACCTCTGACTTTTGCATACTATGTAAATCATGTGTAAATTGTTTGTAAACAGACTGTAAAATTGATTTTACAGGACCGAGGCACTTTTACATACTGCGCAAATTTCAAAAGACTTTGTAAATCATTTGTAAATTATTCCTCGTACTCAATGTAGATTTTTTTGTAAATTTGAAAAAATTATTTGTAAAATACAATTTCCAAAATATTTACATAGTATGTAAAAGACTGAGATTTTCCAGTGTAAATGAAACGGGGAAAATAGATACTTTTTTAGTAAAAATCTGCTGAATCCATGAGTCCATAATGTCTTGAAATCGTAAAATGTCTCTCAAAAATAGCATACGGTAGATTTGCCCTTATACGGTTTGAAAACCTCCTTCAAAAGTACTTTTAAAATAATTAAAGGATGCTATTTCTTTTGTATAAAAAGAATTTTACGGTGGTGGAATGGAAAGAAATGATACCAAGATGTCAGTATAAAGCAGTATAAGAATTATTACTTTTACTAACCATACTTTACTTGAAGCCTGGTTGTCTTGGAGTGAATACTTTGCCCAGGTTCATCCTTGATATTGGTGCCTGTGCTTACTACTGATTGGTGGAGCTCCTTGGACAGGTGAATTGGTTTTAATCAGTAGATTGATCATGCTATGAAGCAAGAGTAATTAAGCAAGGAAGCTCTTTGGATCAACAATTCTAAGTCATTCTTTTAACAAAGAAAGAGAGCAATCAAAGATATTTAAGAAAACACAACTGAGCTTAATTTTATGATATCTTTATTGTGCTCAGGGCTCCAATTGATAACAGATGCACATGCAAGTGATGGGACCACCCTGATGAGTCTTATAGTAAATAAAGGTTTGATTCATTCGTTCTTAAAGTTCAAGGTTTTTAAACCTAAAAAAATATGAATATATCGCGATTTTGAGATTTTGGTTTTACGGTTGCTTTTATGATTCGATGGCTAATTGCAGTTTTGAAACCACCATCCAAACAAATATACTTCGATGATGGCTTGTTTGGTTTGGCCATGTTTTAAGCACATGGGTAGATGCCAGTCGTTAAAAATGGAATACCAACAGCAACTTTCGAACTTGTGAAAAGCCATTCTGATCATGTTTGGCACATTAACTTTGTTGATAAAAATTAAGCATCGCTATTTTTATAGCGAAAAATTGTTAAATTTCGTGAATTTTTGAAGCTGCTTTGTACTGAACCGATGGAAAAAAAATCAGTTTGAGTGCATAAAACATGCATAAAATGCCGTAATCGGAAGGTGGTTCGTATAAAAAGTAGTTTTATCTCTCGTTCCATTGATTATTTTAAAAGTAAGTACGCAGAAGGTGTTTCTTTAATTAATCAACTGTCTTTAAAATGCATTGTTAAGAAGGCGAGGAAATTTGCTTTCGAACGAACAACAACATTTCGGTGAAAAGGGCACTTTCAGGACGAGGAGCACTTTTTAGCAATCTTTTGACTGAAAATTGGTGTTTACACGTACTGTGTTCATAAATTTTCTTGATTAAATGGGGGAATTAAAAAACGATCAAAAACCAATTGTGAGAAAAGAGAATTCGCAGTCATACAAAAGTAACAATTTGCGAGGTGGTCATAGTGTGGGCAGCGCTTCCCTAGTTTGACGCAGCTTGTCAATGTCTTCTAATGAGGGACAATTGAAATCTGTGTTAGTCTGGTGAAAATGAATAGAAGAATAAAACAAAAACTACTAAAAAGAGAAGTAATATAAATAGACAATTGCAATAAATTAATTTTCGCATACTTACGTCAATCTCATTTGCTGTTGTTGTTTTAGTTGATGCTAAAAATCTTCAACTTCATCTTTTTAAAAGTATAGGAAGATTGTTTTGCATACATACAACATATCATATAGTCCTTTTCTCATCTTCTCATCCTCAGTTAAAATTGGTGCTTTTTCAATTAAACTTTGTATATATCATGACTGAAAATACCTTCTGTTTTTTCATAGATATTTCATACAGTGCCAAGTGCAATTTCTATCTTCAGAAATTTTTGACCTAGCGAAATTTGTGTAACTAGTTAACAGTTTTATGGAATGGATAAAGGCTATAAAAACTTTTATGAAAACAAATTATCAGTGAAGATAAAGATGAGGGCTCTCAGATTTCCCTTTAAAAAGATCATTCAGTCGTAAATGATTTGTGCTCTAGGAGTAGACCTTGAGATATTCTAGTTCTGCGTGTGTGTCTTTTGTCTTCGTTTGGTTTTGTTGACCTTTTGAATGATATTGCATTTAAGTGATTTCTTTCAATAATAAAGTGGTATATGAATAAACAAGCTAGTTTTTTTTGAAAGCAAACAGAGGGAAGGAGATATGGGTATTTTTTAGTTCCATTTGGAGGAGCAACACGCTCGCTAATGATGCTTTCAATGTAGCTGACGCCGATATTGATATGACGGTTTCTCAATGATATATATTTCATTAGTGTCTATTGCTCATAAAACCAATATATTTGCTTTCTTTTCGCCTTTTGAATCTCAGTTAAACTCACATGCAATAGACGTGAGAGACGCTCGCGTGCAAAGATTATGAACAGTCTAAGAAATATCATTATTACTACATTAAAAGTGTGAATGTAATAAACAACACATATGCTCGAAAGTTAATTCATTTATTTGGAGTATGAGTGCTAGTTAGTATGCACAGTACCCTGGACCCAGTATTTGAGATCCTCCATGTCAGCGTACACTCCATATCTACCCTTGCGCGCGCAACCTACTCCCCAGCTCACAAGACCAGCCAGCTCCCAGGTATCAGATGCGGTCTTACAAACTAGTGGTCCACCACTGTCACCCTGACATGCGTCGATACCTCCTTTCCCATTGCCAGCACAGCGCATGCGCGTGGTTAGAGTATAGCGCAAATCGTCGTAGGACTTCTGACAGGCTTGACGAGAAATCAGCGGAACCATTGCCTAGAAAACACGAGTTTCATCATTGATCTCAAGTAGAGTCAACTCTTGAAGTGAGTAACATAAATAGTACAAAATAGTGATAAATAAGAAAGAACAACTATGACAACTATGTCTATAATTCAAAATATAAATGCGACCAAGCACCATCGAACGAGCCGCAACTCGCGGATGCGTTGCGTTGATTCGTTGCGGGGTTTCGCATGCACGTCGGGTCGTACTCGCAGATTTTAGGAAAGATCACCAAAGCGCAAATGTTTGAAAACGCTTTGAATGCGGCTAGATGATAACGCAAAACGTTTGTATCACCAAAAAATGTTTAACTCTATTGAGGAGCGCACTGAAAATATTGTGTTTGTACCTACCTGATGAAGGACCCAGGGGCCGTGGCCAGATTCCTGAAGATGTCCCCATCCACTGATATAACAATTAGTCCCTGCAGGGAAGTTTTGAGTTGGAAGACAAACTGGTCGAACCCTATCGTTGTATGTAATGTTGGATTTCATCTTCAGTAACGCGACATCGTAGTCATGGTTGTTGTAGGCGTCGTAGAAGGGGTGTTTGATGATCCTCTCGATGGGGATCCTTTGCTCGTAGCCATCGGTATCATTGAGATCATGCTCACCTGGAGATCGCGACATGTGAATATTGTTAATTATTAAGATTCTCTTCTCTTCTTTAGTTCTTATTTAGACGCGCTTGGGTGCAGCATTTTGAAAGTGGGATACATCCATAAATTTTGTGTTGGTCTGTTTGTCTGAGTCATGCAGGCCATATGAAGCATTTCTTTATGTTCTAAGCTGGACTTTCCCAAAAGGGAAGACATTGGGCCTCTTAGCACCCCTCTTATATATCCGCCCTTGTTTGGTGGCCTGCGCTGTAACGCCAATCTACTTTCAACAACTGACCTCAAAATGGAAAGTCACCATTTTTCTATCATTAGAGCTTACCAATAGTTATCGTGTAATCCTGTGGTTTATCGCTGTAGACAAAGCAGTGAGCAGCAGTGATTATCCAATCATGTGAGATAACACTTCCACCGCACCAATGAGGTGTTGAGGCAGCAGCATTGTTCTTATAATTCATCGTTATCTGCCACGGCCATGCGCCCTTCTTTGCTCGTGTTCCACCTACAATTCTTGTGTTACCTTTGCCTTTTGTTCCACACTTGATGTTTTCTTTTGTTGATCAAAAAGGGTATTAATGCAAGGAAAGGGAAGAACACAATCGAGGAGAGAGTAATCGAGGGATGATAGCTGATGATAAAGAGGTAACTATATTATTTCTTACCATGTACGATTGGCTTTTCAGTTCTTGGCTTTGTTGTCGGAGGCTGTGTCGTCGTTGGGACTAGTATAAGATAAACAGAGAACAAATAGGTTCGAAAGAAGCATCATGCAAAGGCGACACTATCTTTCAAGATGGCACAGGAAATTGCGAGGGAGGCAATTACTAAAACTAGCCATTATCGTGTTAATTTGAAGCAGCTATTAAACAAAACTGGTCTTTAAAGCTAAAAATATTTTAATTTTAGTTCAAGAAAGGACAAAAAAGTGGTAGAAAAGTAAAGAAAGTTGTTCCTTTGAGGTCTCGGCAAAGCAAATTTGTACGAGATGCAAAATATCTTAGTTTCCACCATGTTTTCTAGAATTTCTCATCACATGTACATTCGAGCGCTTATTGGTTTGAAAATAAGTGACGTGGATCATATGATTTTTTCCTGAAAAAAGAAAAAAAGCTTCGTGCGCTCATATTGATTTGAAAATATGTGATGCAACTTTTTCATGGAAAAGAAAAAAGAAAAAAAGCACCATCAATCCTTACCTTTACAGAATTCACAAGTCTTCTTGCAGTAGTATTTCATGGAGTTCTCATACTGAGGTAGTTTGCAGACGCTTAAATAGGCACTGCATTTTTCAATCCTGTCAAAACATGCTAAGCAAAAAAATCAATTGTTTTGGTAATGTGTTATCAAATTTAGATATCATAGTCCGATCTTTTGTGGTCGTGTGATATCAGTTCGACATCGACCCGTCATTTTGTAGAACAATATAGTAGTACTAGCGCTCTCATAATTCAGCCTGAATATCTTAAAAATTATTATTATTATCATTTGTTAGTAACTTTGTTAAAAAAAGAAAACTTGTCTCCTTAGCGATTACCTGCGCCATCTTGAAAGGTAGCCGTGCCTTTACATCGATAGATACCTGTGAATAATTGTCTGTAGGTGTGAAAGAAGGTTTCTATCATTGCACGCTCAACGGTCGTCTCGCTTCGATGTAAAGGCACGGCTACCTTTCAAGATGGCGCAGGGAACCGTAAAAGAGACTATTGTTTTTGAGATGATTCAAATGGACATCAGGGATCACTGAGAACTAAATTTAATGGCATTACTCTATATTGCCGTTCACTGTTCTCCTGGCAGCCTGTTTAGAGCTTTATACATTCAACTATGAAAAACTCACGTTTTGGGCAGTGGTCACATGTTTTCTTGCATTGTTCCCTTAGATAGTCTTCGTAGGCGGGATCTTTGCAGTATTTCTTGTAGGACGAGCAATAACTACCCAACTTGTCTTCACAAGCTGCTTGACGAACAAGAATGATTTGAAATCACGTTAGGTGCTGTAACGATTTAAGATTTGATCCTTTTGTCTTTAGTAGAGTATTACATGTAAAATCGTCTTGTTTATGGAACTCGTATGTACCTTTTATAATGCTTGCTTTTTGTAAACGAACAGAATTGACTCTGTTCAAACGCGATAACGTTTATATTAACGTGTTTTCATAATGCAGACCTAAATTATAATAGTTCAATGCACAGGTATAGTGTGTAAGAACTGACTGTTTCATAGAAAAATACAAAATAAAATCTCAAAAGTAGCTCGAAACAAAATAATTTTAAAATAGAACAATAAAAAAGAGAAACCTTTCAAGCTCGTTTCCGAACACAGCCTACGGGCTTGTGGTGTCTCCACATTGTCTATGTTGATTAAACTGCATGCGGGTAAAAAAATATCTGGACTCATGTCGACGAGGCCTTCGACAGGTTCTTGATATCACAATTTGTTTTCAATTCAAGCATGTGAAAACATTCGGAAAAAAACAGGGCACTAGGAAAATCTAACACATCCAAGGGTGTTTGGAATTGATTCTCAATTTCATTTATTTACTCATTAGCATTATCTATTAATAGTATTTCTTCATGCATAGAATAATTGATAAAGAATTAATCTGATTTAAGTAAGTTTTCCGTCAGGAGTTTTATAGCTTTTTACTTTTACGGACTTTTCAAAACGACCCTTAAATTCTAGGTCCTTTCAAGGAGCATAATCCCGGGGGGCGGGGGTGGTGGTGGGGGTTTGGGGGGTGGTACTCCCATATATATTGCTATACGGGGACGTGCCGCTGGCCAGGGTATGGTTTTTGACCTTGCTGTCTTAAACACGGTATACATTATACCCGAAATTGTCTTAAACAGGCTCTACAATTTAGACAAAAGACCGATACATTATTTTGTTTGTCTTGGACAGGGTAATATTTTCATAAAAAACACCGTAGAAATAGTAGAAATACCATTTCACTGTCCCAGGATTAACGTGTTATCAAAAATTTCTTATTGTCTTTGACGGATGTCAGTATAATTGCAGGTTTGATGGTTGCGGCGTAGATAGCGATTCCTTATTTTTCCGATTCGTCTTGAACAGGGTATGGATTTTCACTTTCTAGTGTTTTAAACAGGTCAGGGTTTTAGATCACTAGCAGCACGTACCTATCCAAAACGGGGTCGAGGAGCGTGAACCCTGTAATCATAGACGGAAATAGCAATGAATACGATTATTTCAAAAAAGACCCCTCATTTATAAATTTACACATGCTCACTAGGAATCCTTCCCTGAACAAACATTAATAACTACAGATCCTTGCTAAAAGACATTGTGTCGGCTTTAAATTTACTCACCTGACCGCCTGTTTCTCGTGTGTTCTTGTTTGAACCGTTCTGAAGTTGAAAATTAGTAGTATATAATAGGTAATATTGGCCTACAATCTTGAAAAAAAAAACCGTCTTGGGACTTTCGCATAAGTATGGATTGTTCATCAACTCTTTTTCCATTACTGACCCTGTTCGTCCATATATCTCCTGTCTAAAACCCCTAAAACCCCTTCTCCCCCTTTCAATGTTGTAGTTGGGTGGATCGGATGGTTTGCTGTCGGTCCGTTGAAAACACCCATTTAGGGTGAAGGATGTGGTTTTGAGTGTAGGGGGGTAAATGGGCAATTCACCCTAAATTAACCCTATAGCACAAAAAGTCCCAAAGATTTTGTCCAATGTCGTAGGTATTTTCAGCAATATGCAGACTGAAAATTAAGCTAACAGGAGAGTTTGCGAATAAAGACATTGTGAATCAAACTTATCAAAGTTTTCGGTTTGGTGTGCAATCCGTCTTAAATGAGACAAACTTAAACAATTAGTAACATTTGTGTGCCGCCCCACCTTTGAAGAGAGTATTATCCAAATTAGTCTTTGTTCGGCCGAATATGCGTAATTTAGGTGTTCCAGAAATGTAAAACTATTTCTTTTTTATTCGCGAAACAGACATCAAAACGCATTTGCCAATCAGATGGAATGAATTTTATAACAAATGAATAATTTCCATACATGGAACCGATTGGGAGGACCGTGTATATGGCGTTTTCTATACTTTGTCCGCAGATGGTTAAGTAGATAACAAGTTACAACGAACGATTCTTATCGTGTGATAGACATATAAGTGCCCAACACGGTCACTGAAAAAACGTCACGACACGGAATTACCGAGGATTTTCACACTCGTATGATTGATTTTTGCTCTACCGTGTCGCCTTCAATGATTCAAGTGCAGAAACCGCGAAAATTTAGTTGTGAAATGTTGTACTTGAGAACTTGAAAACTTCTACTTCCGTATATGTGCCTTCATGCTCTTTGAGATCTTCTTCAGTATTTTTTTAATTTAACTTTCTTTTAATCTAAGCTATATGGTGACAGAGCGTTTTCTTTCTCTGGTCCTGGAATAAATTGGCTAGTGAGGTCAAATCCAGGTCTTCTACCAAATTTAAAAAAGCCCTAGAGACCTGGCATATGTCATATTGCCTTTCAAAGTATTTTATAAGATGTTAATTTAAGATTTGTGTTTGTTTTATGTATTTTAAACATGCAAAATTTTGAATCTTTTCATTGCAAATTAAAAGCGCATATGAACTTGTGAAATCGTTCATTGTTATTATCATTTGCAGATGATATTTACTCTCTTTGCCTTAATTCAGCATAGAGTTTTATTTGTATATTGATGCATCTGTTGATTTGCGATTTTTTAGGACTTTTAGGGAATACGGAGACCAGTAACTTTAATTAAAAAAAAGACTTTAATAGACTTGATCGGTTTTACGACGTACGTTACCCTGCGAGAAAAATAAAATTTTCTTCTATAAATTCAGCTGTAAAATCAAAAGATAACGCACTTTTTTCCATGCAGAGAAGAGGCAGATTATGTTATCTAATCATCATACGTTTTATTCATTTCTTAAATCGAATCTGTACACACCAGAGGCTGTGTGCGTTCATCGTGGTTTGTAAACTCGAAAAAAATTCCCACTACTGATACGCATTTAATGGCTTAATTTGTTAGTCCTCTTAAAGCTTTGAATAACTTACCATTTAGTTCTTCGATGGTTGGAAGCCCCGCCGAGCCCAAAGAAGAGCAAAATAAAGAAATAAAGAAAGCACTGAGGAAAAAATACTCCATCTTGGTATTTGCTGGGGACACAATAGCCAGAACAGAACCAAATTCATAAGAGAGTCACCTATTTATGAGGCTGAAAAAGTCTTCGTAGCTGTGTAAACACAGATTTATAAAACATAAATATAAAAACAATGTGCAATTAAAAAAACATAGAGCAATCATAAAGTGACATCATTGACTTTTGTATTTTTTTCAATAGAGTATGTTTTTATATCAACGTGATCACGTATGAAGACGTTAATAAGAGAAAAAGGATCAAGGAAAAGAGATAGGAACTACAATAAATTGCCTTTTTCAATTTTAACAATTTTAAGAGTTTGTCAAGAATAGGGCGTGACTCGATATCAAAGAAACACTTTTTGAATTGACCGTTTTTTTAAAAAGACATATTCTGGGTTTGTGCTAAAATCAGTGCGTAAAGCACTGTCTCGTCTCTCTTATGAGCAAGACATTTTGAAGGATTAATGCTTTTTCCTTTATTGTGGAATATGCTTATTACAATAAAGATTATTCGTTGATCATCCGCTTGACCCATTTTTTGAGGATTTCCATGTTAGCATACACGTCGTATCTATTAGGGCGCCGGCAGCCTCTTCCACAGCTCACAACTCCAGCAAGTTCCCAGATACCAGATGCGGTCCTACAGGACAATGGTCCACCACTATCACCCTGACAAGATGCAACACCTCCTTTCGCTTTGCCAGCACAGCGCATTCTCTTGGTTATAAGTTTGTTTAATTCTTTGTAAGACCTGCGACAAAATCGGAGAGAAACCAGGGGAATCTTAGTCTAGAAAAAAAGGAATTCAATCTTATATATAGAGGATATTACTTGTTCACTCAGAGATACCGATCGATTTTATCTTCGAGGTTTAAACACAAGAAGATAAAATACGTAATTTTAATTTTAATTTAAAAAAATGTAATTCTTCGTTTTCAGGTTACGTCACAGCGGCCATCTTAGAGGAGCTTCAACAAAGGTTTTCTCATTCTGTTGTTCATTCTACCAACATGGCCGCCGGTCTTTTATCTTTTGAATCTCATGGGAATGTGTGAAAACGATCAATATTCTGTTTATCATTTAATTATCTATTTACGCAAATTTTGTTTCAAAATTTTTATTTGACTACAATGTATTCAACGAATGTGTAATTTTCACTTTACGAATTTGAGAAATTTAGTTATTTCATAGATAACGAGAAGCACTACGTGGAACATACCGTGCCCAATTCAGCTAAAAGGACATGGCGTAAATACAGTCATCACCGTATAGTGGCGGATTTAGGCTGGTGCCCCCCCCCCCTTTTTTGGGAAAAATTAAATTCTCGAAATGCTTTTTTAAACTAATATATCTTCTTCCGACAGGTAGACTGAGAATAAGTTGTACAATGTAAAATGTTGCTGTCGCAACATGAAACAAACTCCATGAGTGAACTGAGTGAACTGAGGGGACTTTTTTGATTGTTTTTGCTCATTTCTCAACCCCCTCCTGATAAATATTGCGCATTCACTAAGAAACTGTCAGTGTAAATTACAGTAGCTATAAAGAGCTATAAAGAGTATCGATTCAGTACCCTATATTTTGAAAAGAAAATATAAGCTAAAAAAATAGTGATAGTGACGTGAAGGACAGGGTTGGAGGCAATGTCCTTCAATTGATGTTTGGGAATGAAAGCGTTGTGTCGAACCAAGATACGCCTGAAAATCAGGATAATACCTGGACGTTACCTAGATTTCAGGAATAATGACCTTACCTGCAGAACAGTAGATGAAGGACAAGAAAAGCAATACTGACAAAGTTATCTTTACGCCAGAATGAGTCATTTCTTGTTTCAAACCAGGAATATGTTGAAAAATAGGTTATAGGTTATTAGAAGATATTTTTCTTGTTTCCATTTTCTAATCAGAGATTCCTAGAGAATCTTGTTGAGATTATTGCGAGGGACACTAGAAAAGGTTCTTAACAAGTCGCTTTTAGGTTATGTTCTTCCAAAAATCAGTTCTTGAAACATTGTTTTATGTTCAGCCTTGTTCAGCGCTGTACAACATTTTCGAGAAAAAAAGAAATGTCAAACGGATATTCAAACAAAGTTTTTAAACTGATTCAACACGTTTCAATAATGACGGTTCTACACAAACGCGTTCAACAAAGTTGAACGAATGTTGAAGAAAATATTAAGAGCGTTTGCGCCTGCAGACAATGAAAAACACGAGGAATATCTTCAAATATAGTGCTCAAAATAAAAACCCTTACACAGTAACATTGACAAATTTTACCTTTATCACGCTTGTAATTCGCCGATTTAAGATGGGGTTTGGTCTGCTCTCTTTGGAGTGCAGTAGTCTTATGGCTCAACATGTGAAGCTGCGAACTAATTATTAGCTCCAGATGTTCTTTGATTCTTTTTTTAATCAGAGCTGCATTTTATTAGAACTATTATTTTCCGTCTTGTGCGCCTACAGACATATAGGTAATTCAAATTAAATGTTCTCGGGAGAACAGCGAATAATGTATGATCGCATGTTACCATGGAAATTGATTATTAATGGCCGTATTCACTCAGTAGTAAGGGTTTATAGATGGGCCGGGGGTTAAGTGGGGGTTTATGATGGCCTCCCAACACTTCCGGTGAAAGAACCAATAGGAAAGCGAGTTTCCCCACGTGACGCGTAAGTCGTTCCCTCTTAAAAAGGGGACAGGCCCCCCAAGCAACGGAGTTGGCCCTTCGGGCCACACGTGTAGCTAGGGAGGGGTGGGTGATAAAAGAGGTAACATGGAAATCCGATCAGGGGAGGGGTAGTAGGAATAAAAATATATAAGAGAGAAAGCATCACGAGCACGAGTGTGGCATTGTATCTTCAAAAGATGAATTTCACAACAGCAGACTGGCGTAGCGAGGAAATGGCTATCACCACAGCAGACTGGCTTAGCGATGAACCAGTAAAGGAACTATCGTGGCGTAATCCAAAAGATTGGGGGCCATTATATCCCTTCTATCACAAATCCTATTTGATAGGATTAGAATGCGAGTGGGTGGAGTAAGTATTTTAAAAACACACAAAAACAAATCTTTACTTTAGAGACTAAATTAAATCTATTACTTTTAAAGCAAACTCGACGAAGTACTTCTCAACATATTTTTATATTATGTTGGGTTAACTTCAAAGCAAAAAGATCGGGTCTTTATACACAAGATGGATGGATGACGCGAAGAAATTGTGATTTTTTGTGCCTTGCATTTGATCTCTCTACAATGATTTTTATATATTATTGCAGCGGGATCAGAGTTCAGGACCTGAAATCTATAACTCATCTCTTTTATTTTTCCCTACTTGCAGATATGGATACCTTATTTTACAGAAAAAAACACCACGCCGAGCTCGAACTTTGAACGAATTTAAATCCTATCATGTACAAATGCAGTGCCTGATGCTGAAATTGATGATCGGCATTGATCAACGAATACCACGATTTTATGATTTAGAAACCATGGAGTCCTGGAAAACGCAGATGGTCATTTTTAAACGACAAGTCAGATGTTTGGAGCGGTATCTCGTCATGTATTCAACTTCAACGGTACTCCATAGTCCTATTGCTAAAGCAGAAAGAATTTTAAGAGACTTTAATATAATGGAAAATATTATTCGTGTAGGATTTCCTAGTTTTGTTTCTATGTATGAAGCACGATTGCAAGAGTTTGAATCTCAAACTAATATGGATGTCAATTCTCCTTCATTTAGACCCGAACCCTCGCTGTATTCGCCTCCTCCCTCGCCTCAGTAATGTGTAAATAATAAAGAGACTATGAATGTGAAATCTAACTCGAAAACGTAACTTTCGTAGGCAAATTTTTTACAAAATGTAGGGGAATTCCCCACAAAAGGTAGAAGTAAGATGAAACGAAACTAGAATAATTAACTCAACACATGTTGTTTTTTAGATTTAACTTCCTTTAATAGTATACTCTTATCTTTTACATGAATGTTTTCGTTTTAATGAATTATATCATATGGGATGGTGTACAAATCTTTAAACCACAAATCCAAACGGTGATAAAGGGTAGAATGGACTTGATCAATCAAAGGACCATAGGCTTCTTTTAAAGGAATAGAAATAAAATCTTTTATCAGCTGTCGTTGCTCGTCTAGAGGTTCCACCATTTCAGTGAGCCATTCTAAGATCTCATCAGCCCCCACGTTAGAATAATAATCATCCTCGTTTCCTATTTTGATCTCCAAAAGTGCCTTCTTGTTCGTCTCCACCGTTTCAGGCGTTTGTAAATCTAACTCGTACTGACGGCATGCTGGATGTTTCCCGTTTTTGTCGCATTCCTTCAACCTATCTTGAATCCACTGAATTATGTTTTTCTGTAAACGGTTGCGTACGGCTTCTTCGTCCCTGTAATCTCGGTCAATGTCGTCCATCATCCTGCGGTATTCCACCATGATATTGAAGAGATCATCTACTTTAACATAGGTTTGAAGCTTTCCTTTTTCCTTGTACGCTTCCCCTTCGTGGTTGTAACGAAGCATATCGATTACATCTGTAATGGGTTAGCGTAGGGTCGACAATGGTGCGTTCGGGCAAATTAAGATAACGTAAGCGATACTCCCAACGACCAGGTTGGATCTCGGCACCGCGCACGGCGTCGATCCTGTCGTCCATCACGTCGGCGATGTAAAATACGCGATGATACTCGGGCATGTCGCGCCGGTCTTGGGTGTAATCGTACTCGTCGGGCCGATCTCGCTCAATATCTTTTCAATAAGGAAACAATCGTCTTCTGATTCTTTTTCTTTTTTAAATTTTTTCGCTGTAGAGACTTTACTTTTTTCTCTCTATTGTAGAAAATAAAAAATGAGAATTAAAATAGTGGAATTAAAAAATGAGATTAAAAAATGAATTTAAAAATGAGATTTAAAAAATGAGACCACCCCTCCCCTGACTGGATGTTGTTGTTGCTTCTTTTCTTAATAACCCCTCCCCTAGCCGGATCTGTGCCCCTTCGGGGCACCTTCGTTGCTTGGGGGGGCCTGTCCCCTTTTTAAGAGGGGACGACTTACGCGTCACGTGGGGAAACTCGCTTTCCTATTGGTTCTTTCACCGGAAGTGTGAGGCCATCATAAACCCCCACTTAACCCCCGGCCCATCTATAAACCCTTACTACTTCACTCAATTCTGATGTTTCTATTAAGTAAACTATCTTTATTTTGATTTGTTAAGTCTGTCCATCTCGTTTCCGGGAATAAGTGAATAGTATTCATCAAAAATTGAACATCCATAATGACTTTCGGTCGTCACTTGCAGTTGACGTTCCGCTCTGACACACTTTTTTGAAACAGCTGTGTATGCTGGTTGCCATGGGTGCTTATTCATGTCGTGAGCTATTTACAAGTACTTTTCGTTTCATGTCTTAAATTAGCTAAAACAGTCAAAAATTAGAAATAGAGATACCAGAATACTAGAAATACTTTTCAAAAACTCATTAATTATTCATGAGGTATTCAGCCAATCCCTGATTGTAATTTGTACCACGTGCAGTAACTTGAAACCAGAGGAAGTACTCGCACCTTGTATTCTTCCTAATTTCCAGTTACTTCGAGCTTATTTCAAGTCACTTCTACATTATTTCTAGTTACTTCTACATTATTTCCAGTTGCTTTTACCATGTCTCCAGCTACTACTAGCTAATGATAATCAAATTATTAGAAATAATCAATTAACATTAATTTAGTGAAAAATGGTCTTTGATACATTAACTCCTCATGACTCGATCCCCTACCGTCCAGTCTACATGCGCCGTCTTATACCATTACACCATCGAGTTTCTGATGCGATTCYTTGGAAGATAACATGGTTATAAATCTTATGAATTAGGCTCATTAGGAATGCAATGAATAGCAAACAAAGACAATTTGAATAGAATTTGTTTCAGATGAGCCATCAGGGAATTGAAGAACAACAAACAGTGCTTCATGTATTCAAAATTATGAAAACTGAAAACCTTTCTAATCAATATATTTCTGTTATATGTATTTCCTTCGCTTTTTTTCCCTCCCGAATAATTAATGAGTTTTTGAAGTCGTTCAAAGGCCTCCAATTCGGACTTGACGGGATTTCAAAGTCCTTGCAATTAGTTCCAGTCCTCGGCTAGCGCCTCGGACTGGAACTAATTGCGCGGACTTTGAAACCCCGTCAAGTCCTCATTGTCGGCCTTTAAACATTACTTAACATTAGGACTATATCACAAAAAAAAAACAAAAAAAAAACAAAAAAAAAACAAAAAAAAAAAAAAAAAAAAAAAAAAAAAAAAAAAAAAAAAAAAAAAAAAACGACAGAACAAAACACACACGCACAAAAAAAAAAAGAGTGGAACATTCCGTGCTTATTTTTGAGACATCAAAGCTGGAAGAAAACAATTTACTACGCTACGCTCACTCGTGAGAGATCTTTTCAAACACTCGAAGATAAAATCTGTATCTCCGCGCGCCCATGTGATCCTCTTATACTTAATTTATTCTTTGCAGTTTGAAATTATGGCTAAACACTTGAAGTTTGGCTGAGTAATGGAAATTTGAAATTGAGAAATCGAACTATACATACTCTGGCTTTATCGGCATTGTATTGACAACGATAACGACAAACAAATAAGATTTACAAAATGCCTCCTGTCAAATATTTATCCATTTACAATACGATGAAAGTTTAGAGCATTACAAGTTTGGGTTTGATCTGCGTCATGAAGGTACCAATATTTTGGGCCTAAAATAATTTGTGTGAGTGTGCAATATTTTTTTAATTTCTTTTAAAAACCTTGACACAAATAAAAGTGGTAGCATCAATACAAGAATTTCATAGTAAATAAAGCAACACAGAGTATTTTGAAAATCAATCTGTTTGACTTTGGTTTGATTTCGTATAAGACTGTTATGCACTAGTCAATTGAAACCCCCGCCCCTGACCCCCGGGGCTAGCGGGGCACTGAACGGTGACGTGACGTGTTTTTAACTTGCTTTTAACAGCAAGATTGCCCCGGGGTGTCGGGATTTTGGTGAATTACTTTCGAAGCGGGGCAAAGAGCCGGGATTTTAACTCTCGTTTGAACATGTATGAGACTGGAAACTAGAATTTGGCTATCTTGAGAAATACGCCGAAAGCATTGGTATGAAAGCATGAAAATTTTTTAAAAGAAACTTATTACACATGTTTATTTCCGTCCAGTTAGCCTCATGCTGTATTATAACGCAAATGTGAAAGGATTATACAAAACCCTGTCATCACAGAAAATTTGATTGAAAGGTCTTAACAATAGACCAAAATAGCGGGGCCACAGTAGCGGGAGTTTTAACAGTGAATGTGTCCCCGACTACCAGGGAAAATGGAGCGGGGGTTTTAATTGAAATTAGGATGTTAGTTTAATGATGGTCGCTTTTACTCTACTTATAATTTAATTATATTCCTACATTTATTAGCGTATGTTACGAGTATTGTTCATTAAATGGGAAAATTGGCTATAGACCCACAAATTTCATCCAAAAGTGAAAACAACTTTACACAATTATGGAAATGATACATTATGATTAAATGCCGAACATTTAAATAATGAGTCTATGCAACTAACAAAACGCCGACATAAATAAGACCAATCTGATTATAAATAAGAGTAATAAAACATCACGCTTCAGTCCAATCATTTATTTGGAGCTTGTGTATTAGTTACTGCTCATAGTACTCTCGATCCAGCCTTTAAGGGCCTTCACATTGGCGTACACTCCATATGTACCAGGGCACTCTTTTCCAAAGCTCACAACTCCAGCGAGATCCCAGACACCAGATCGGTTCTTACAGACCAGCGGACCACCACTATCACCCGCACATGCGTCGACACTTCCATTTATAAAGCCAGCACAGATCATACGTGTAGTAATCCGCGGTCTGTGGACCTTACGACATTCATTTCTAGAAACCAAGGGAACCATAGCCTATAAAAGGATTTGCCAAAAAACAAGTAACGATTACAAGCATTGCGTTTATAGTAATTTTCCATCGACTTTTGGAAAAATTAAGAAAACATTTTCTTGCTATGGTCTGTTAAAAAACTGAAAACAAGAAACCGGTAGCTCCGGGCAATATATTTAAAGAGGACATGATACAAGATATGGAAATAAAGGAACGTTATATTGCTTAGAATATCCGCAACCTTATAATATCTATTTCACACCAACCTTCTCCCAGGCTGACATTGTAGCTCAGCTGGTAGAGCATCGTTATAAGTACAAATCCGAGTCGTGGGTTCGAAATACAGCGAGGTGGGAAACTAATTTCCTTCTCCCGGAATAACCTCTTTCTAAATCCCATAACTTTCGTTTATTTCTACATCATGTAATTGATTTCACAACAATCGCACTAAATATCACTGTAAGTCGGCATCAAAATTGTGTTAGCGTGATTTGGAAAGTTCTTACCTGACGAAGTTTCGAGGGGCCTCCCTTTTTGTGCTTGTCAATTATTCCCCAGCCAGTAACATAGCAATTAGTTCCAGTAGGGAAACTTCGTCTTGGTAGGCAAACAGGCCGAACCTTGTCATTGTATGTCACATTTTGTTTCAGCTTCATCAGAGCAATGTCATAGTCATCATTTTGTCTGCTGTAGTTTGGATGCAGGAAGATCTCCTCGATCTCCATAACTTGCTTGTCACCTTCTTCTCTCCTGATGTTGTGCTGACCTGATGATTGCCATATGCAAAATGCGATTATCAGACCGAACTACAGACAGCACGTTAAAACAGTCACTTTTCGATGTCTATTTTTTGCCCGAATGAACAATGTATATTATTTTCTTGTCTTTCACTCTATAGTAGCTTTTCTTAGAGGAGTTTACAGGCTCGGCGAGATGTACTATTGGCCATTCTTATATTGAAGCTTCCCCGACAATCTGTATTGATACTCACCACGAAGCTTCATCCTCCGTTGGTTCCATAAACTCTCCGCCATCTTGATATTTCTATCAATATCATAACTCATTTCTCCACGCCAAAAAGATGACGTTCGTAGAAAATACCTTAATCAATGATGTTAATTCAGAAAGCTTACCGGCTGTGACAATGTAACGCGAAGAATTGGGATTTGGTTGAAAACAATGAGCAGCAGTGACGATCCAATTAGGGACGATAATGCTACCACCACAAAATTGGTTTGTCCCGTTACGTTTTCCTACGGCTACCTGCCATGGCCAAGATCCCTTCTTAGCTATGCTTCCACCAATAATTCTTTGCTTTCCTATGACCTTTGTTCCACACTTGACTTCATCTTTTGTAAAGAATGAATAATTACATCATTGGGATTGCTGTTTCACCTACGAGTCAGCTTATCCATCAACGAGCAAAACGGTCGACGTCCAAAAATAGGCAAAAAGTGCAGCGATGCCATATTGTGAATCAAAGCATGATGGTGGCTGTACTCCTTGCACTTTTCATAGCCCCTAAAATATCTTAAAAGCCGGTTTTTCATTTTCTTTTTAGAAAAGGGACAAATACTTCTATTATTGCTTATAAAAATTAAAAAAAAAATGGTTAGGAGGATTGCTTAGAGGAGATAAGAAGGTACTCGTTCTATGTACTTCAGCGGATTTTAACTGTGTATTACAAACTCTACTGAAATGAACTGAGCACAAATTCATATGTGAAAGGCTTTGTCAACTTACCTTCGGCGAAGCACAAAGCCCCCAGAAGCAGCAGAGATACAGCAAACAATTTCATCTCGTAAAATGTCGATCTACTTGGGATGAAATTAAAAATAGCCAAAGACAGTTTCATTAGTCCTAAAATTTACCTGATATTATGGATATAAAAAAATCCGTCATAATTTGTATCAACTATAGGAGTGCATATAAAATGAATTTTAAGTGTTTATAATACAATACCTTTCTACCAAACAGCGTAGAAATCATCTGGATCTCACTGATTCTAGTTTTTATGTCGCACTGATAAATTTTAGACAAATCATTATGGTGGTTTTCCAATATGGTTCATCAAGTAAGAAGATTTTGCTTGGCAGATACAACAGATTTTGACTCGTGAATCTAGCTTTTATGTATAGAACTGCTAAACAGGTCATGTCAAATGTGTCAGATAAATCATGATGTTGGCTACCAGCAAGTTGCCTTCAAAAGGTATGGTTCACTGAGTAAGACGATATTGCTTGGCAGAAACAAACCGTCGAAGCTGAAAGAATCCATTTAAAAATGCGAATTGTGCTCCGAAAAATGTTGAGTTATTTTTCAGTCACTCGTCCTGATTCAGATCCTTCCCAAGTTAAATCAAGTCGACGAAGGTGACATTGTTCAGTAGTATAGTATAGTATAGGGCAAAAAATGTGGACACAAGTGTAACTTTGTAAGAGATTGCTGCGGGCTACTTTTGGTGAAATACAGCCAACCAACGAAATTTTTGCACAAATTATTTATTGAAATTTCTTGGTTCTACTTAAATGGCTGTGAATTATCATGGTTTGGAAGAGTTGGAGCTACCATGAAAGCTGCGTTCTGTACAAGAGATTCCTACTCAAATTAATTTAAATCAAGTTGAAGTTAATGTTATATGCAATTTAGTGTTTACATACCATCGTCAATGCATTTTCTGTAAATAGTTAATCGATAGCAGGATAATCAAAGATGACGCGATCGTGCTTGATACCCTCGTCAAAAACACTTTTTACCCAATCACAGCACGTGCTATATACCAATTATTTTAGTAGAATTATGTTAAACAATGACTATTGTTCTACCGCCTGACACCTTCGTTTGTTGTATTGCCTGGCTGTTTGTTATTTCATCGAATCACAATTTTTGTTCTAACAAAATAGAAATAACAAAATCGAGTAAACAACACGGTTCAGTTCAATCATTTATTTGAAACTTCTGCATTAGTTACTTCTCATGTTTCTTTCGATCCATTCTTTAAGCTCCCACACATTGGCATACACTCCATATGTACGAGGGCGCGCGCAACCCCTTCCGAAGCTCACAACTCCAACGAGATCCCAGACACCAGATCGGTTCTTACAGACCAGCGGACCACCACTGTCACCCTTGCATGCGTCGGTACCTCCTTTCTTAAAGCCAGCACAGAGCATGCGTGAAGTAAGCCTGTTGTACTTACGACATTCTTTTTCAGATACCAAGGGAACCCTAGCCTAGAAAAAAGGATTTGACAAAAAACAAGTAGAGTTTACATGCATTGAGTTTATGGTAATTTTCCGTCGACTTTGGAAAAAGTAAGAAAAAATATTGTTGCTTTGGTTTGTTAAAAAATGAAAACAAGAAACAGGTAAAAATGTTCTTGTCGGTAGTCAGAAAATTAACCCCATTCAGACCCTGAGGCGGTAACTCCAGGCAATATATATATAAATGCGAGGACATGACACATGATAGGAAAATAAAAGAAGTTTATAGTTCTTAGAATGTTTTTTTTTTTCATATCCGCAACATAACATTATATATTCACACCAACCTGCTCCCAGGCTGACCTTGCAACTCAGCTGGCAGAGCATCGGTAGTGGAAATCTGAAGGTTTTGGATTCGAACCTCAGTGAGGTCATCAATTAATATCCTTCTATCGGAATAACCTCTTTCTAAACCCTAAAACTTTCCTGCATTTCCATATCATGTAACTCAAGGTAATAGCAACGCCCGCTCTTGCTTTCACAACAATCGCATCAAAATCGATGGAGGATTAGCATGTGTGATCGAGACTTGGGAAGTCAGTAAAGGAGGACTAGTGCTTACCTGACGAAGTATCGAGGACCCACCCACTTTCTTCTCTTGAACTCTTCCCCAACCAGTAACATAGCAATTAGTCCCAGCAGGGAAACTTCGACTTGGTAGGCAAACGGGTCGAACTTTGGCGTTGTATTTAATGCTCCTCTTCAGTTTCATCAGCGCAATGTCATTGTCATATTTGTGGTTTTCGAGTTCGTTGTAGTTTGGATGCCTAATGATCTTCTCGACCTCCATAACTTGCTCGTCACGTTCTTTTTTCCTGAGGTTGTGTTCACCTGATGTTTGACATATGCAAAATGTGATTATCAGACCGGACTACACAAGGATACATGAAGCAAAGCACATTGAAGCCCTGCCTTACGGCCACCCACTTATTACGACCTCTCCCTTACGGCAAGATAATTATGTCCCGGCGAATTAAACCCTCATACGTTTAATTTTTTGCACAATTACTAAAACTACCACCCTACTAAAATGGTCACTTTTCGATGTTCCTTTGGTGGTAGGATGAATAATGTATATTATCTTTTTGCTTGCACTCTATGGTTGCTTTTCCTAGAGTGTGCAGTCACGGCGAGACACACTATGGAATTGACGGAAGTACAAACTGAAGTGACGGACGTTTTATATTGAAACTTCCCCGACAATCTGTATTGATAGTCACCACGAAGCTTCATCCTCCGTTGGCCTTGTAAACTATCCGCCATCTTGATATTTCTATCGACAGCGTATTCATTTTTCCACTCCAAAAAGATGACGTTCATGGAAATTACCTTAATAAATGTTGTTAATTCAGAGAGCTTACCGGCTGTGACAATGTAGTGTTGAGGACTCGGATTTGGTCGAAAACAATGAGCAGCAGTGACAATCCAATTAGGTGCGATGATACTTCCACCACAAAATGGGTTGCTCCCGCTGCGTTTTCCTACGGCTACCTGCCATGGCCAAGAACCCCTCCTAGCTATGCTTCCACCAACAATCCTTTGCTTTCCTCTGACCTTTGTTCCACACTTGACTCTTTTTTGTACTTTTTCTACCTTTCTCAATGTAAGGAGAATATTTGTATTCATCTTAAAATAAAACTATACAGTTTTATCAAAATTTCAAAATGCTATATCATAAAAGTAATAGAATCGAAGATTTTTCCGGTGACTCTACCGGTGAAATAGAGCACTTGTGATGTTGGGACTAGAGGCACTCGAAAAAGTTAAAAGTCACTCGTCACTCTTTAAAACTTTTCTCGTGTCTCTCCCAACATCACGCGTGCTCTATTTCACCGGTATAGTCACGGAAAAAATCTTCTATTACTTAATTAAAGTCGGTTATTAAATCGTCATTGGGATTGCTGTTTCACCTACGAATCAGCTTATCCACCAACGAGCAAAACGGTCGACATCCAAAAACAGGCAATGTCCAGCGACGCCATATCGTGAAGCAAAGCATGATGGTGGCTGTAGTCCTTGCACTTTTCATAGCCTCTAAAATATCTTAAAAGCCGGTTTTTCATTTTCTTTTTAGAAAAGGGACAAATACTTCTATTATCGCTTATAAAAATTAAAAAATGTTTAGGAGGACTGTTTAGAGGAGATAAGAAGGTACTCGTTCTATGTACTTCAGCGGATTTTAACTGTTTATTACAAACTCTACTGAAATGAACTGAGCACAAATTCATATGTGAAAGGCTTTGTCAACTTACCTTCGGCGAAGCACAAAGCCCCCAGAAGCAGCAGAGATACGCCAAACAACTTCATCTCGTAAAATATCGATTTACTTGGGATGCAATCAAAAATAGTTTCATTAGTCCTAATATCTATCTGATATTATGAATATAAAAAAATCCGTCATAATTTGAATCAACTATAGGAGTACATATAAAATGAATTTTAAGTGTTTATAATACAATACCTTTCTACCAAACAGCGACGAAATGATCTGGATCTCACTGATTCTAGTTCGCACTGATAAATTTTAGACAAATCATTATGGTGGTTTTCCAATATGGTTCATCAAGTAAGAAGATTTTGCTTGGCAGATACAACAGATTTTGACTCATGAATCTAGCTTTTATGTATAGAACTGCTAAACAGGTCATGTCAAATGTGTCAGATATATCATGATGTTGGCTACCAGTAAGTTGCCTTCAAAGTATGGTTCACTGAGTAAGACGATTTTGCTTGGCAGAAACAAACCGTCGAAGCTGAAAGAATCCATTTAAAAATGCGGACTGTGCTCCGAAAAATGTTTAGTTCTTACATTATTTTTCAAACACTCGTCATGAGATGTGAAATCAAACCGACAAAGGCGACACTGTTCAATACTAGTATAATATAGGAAAAAAAGTGACGCAAGTGAACTTTGTAAAGAATGGCTGCGGGCTACTTTCGGTGACAGAAATACAGCCGAACCAACGAAATTTTCACACAAATTATTTATTAAAATAAATTAATAGATTATAATCTTTCTTGGTTTTTAATTTCTCAAATAGCTGTGAATTATCATGGGTTAGAAGAGTTGTAGCTACTTTAAAAGCTGCAATATATACACGGAAATTCCTAGTCAAATTAATTCAAATAAAGTTGAAGTTATTGTTTTATACAATGTAAGGGGTGTGTGGGGGTCCTCCCCGGAACATTTTGAAATAATAACTCCATTAAATGCGATTTCTAGCATTTTGAGAGTCATCGAGAGCATATAAAAAGGGATTAAATTTATGAGCGTGGARTTTAATTATTCGTGAATATTTCTTTTTCCACCTCCTGCTACGAAGTAGGGGATTGAAGAGTTGAATATTTCATTTGGTTTAAAAAGACGGTACTACCGTAATAAGGGGGGTAGGGGGTCCCCCCAGAAAATTTTGATAATAACTCTAAGAAATGCGATTTTCAGCATTTTGAGGGGAATCGAGAGCATATAAAAGGAATCAAATTTATGTGAAATTTTAAGAAGAAGGGGGTGGAAGAGATGAATATTTCATTTGGTTTTAAAAAAGGCGGTACTATCCATGCTCGATATTTTTTTCGCCATATTATTTTTTTAGGTTGGAGAGCTTGCTCGATATTTATTTTTGGATTTAACTCACCCCCCCTCCCATCCTCCCCCCTACAAAAATCAAATGGACCGTCCCTTATAGGATTATGTTAAACAATGACTACTCTTCTACTGCTGGACATCTTCGTTTTTTTGTTATTTCATCGAATCACAATCTTTGCTCTAACGATAGTGTACAACTCTTAAATTGAAATAATAAAATCGAGTAAACAACACGGTTCAGTTCAATCATTTATTTGAGGCTTCTGTATTAGTTACTTCTCATGGTTCTTTCAACCCACTCTTTAAGGTCCACCACATCGGCATACACTCCATATGTACGAGGGCGCGCGCAGCCTGCTCCAAAGCTCACAACTCCAGCGAGATCCCAGACACCAGATCGGTTCTTACAGACCAGCGGACCACCACTATCACCCTGGCATGAGTCGGTACCTCCGTTCCTAAAGCCAGCACAGATCATGCGTGAAGTAAGCCAGTTGTACTTACGACATTCGTTTTCAGAAACCAATGGAATCCTGGCCTAGAAAAGGATTTGAGAAAAGCAAGTAGAGTTTATAAGCGTTGAGTTTATAGTCGATTTTGAAAAAAACAAAAAACAAAAAACAAAAGAAACAACAACAACAATCAAACAAACAAACAAACAAACAAACAAAAAACAACAACAACAACAAACTAACAAACCAAAATAAAACATTTCGTGACTATGGTTTTAATTGTAACACATTTAATTTATTCTTTCCAAAACGGCAAAGTATGTTTAATCGATGTCATGACTATGTTCACTTTATTCAAACGAAATGCCAGGCATGGTAACTATCTCTAGAGCGAAAAATCAATCAAATATCTGGTGCCCTCAACCAGCACCAAAATCGTCATCTATACACCCTTTTAATAAGTCCCGAGGTATTGTTTTCTCCGCACTTGACGTCAAATTTATTCTTTTGAAATGTTTGCAATACAAAAGGAATTCAAAAGAATAAATTTGACGTCAAGTGCGGAGAACGTAATACCTCGGGACTTATTAAAAAGGTGTATATCGCTGTGAGAGCATAGCGCGTGTAAACCGGACTTAAGTAGATGACATAGGACTAGTGCTTACCTGACGAAGATACGTGGACCCTCTCTTTTGACCCTCAAAAAGATCTCCCCAACCAGTAACATAGCAATTAGTCCCAGCAGGGAAATTTCTTCTTGGAAGACAAACTGGTCGAACCTTGTCGGTGTATCTAATGCTCCTCTTTAGTTTCATCAGCGCTATGTCATAATCATATTTGTGGTTTTCGCGTTCGTTGTAGTTTGGATGCCTAATGATCTTCTCGACCTCCATAACTTGCTCGTCACCTTCTTTTCTATTTAGGTTATGCTGACCTGGTGATTGAAATATGCAAAATGCAAATATCAGGTCGGACTACACACGGATACTACAATAACACGATATAGAAATGAAAGAAAGTTATAGTGCTTAGAAGGAGGCAATTCCGGGAGAAGTCCCTTAGGAATAAATTCGGAAAAATTAATTTCCGACCTCACTGGGATTCGAACCCACGACCTTCGGATTTGTACACCGATGCTCTACCAGCTGAGCTACAAGGCCAGACTGGGAGCAGGTCGGGGTGAAATAGATGTTAAGGTAGCGGTAATAGAATAATGTAAAGATATGAATATGAAGACCGCATGGCACTATGATAAACACGATATAGAAATGAAAGAAAGTTATAGTGCTTAGAAGGAGGCAATTCCGGGAGAAGTCCCTTAGGAATAAATTCGGAAAAATTAATTTCCGACCTCGCTGGGATTCGAACCCACGACCTTCGGATTTGTACACCGATGCTCTACCAGCTGAGCTACAAGGCCAGACTGGGAGCAGGTCGGGGTGAAATAGATGTTAAGGTAGCGGTAATAGAACAATGTAAAGATATGAATATGAAGACCGCATGGCACTATGATAAACACGATATAGAAATGAAAGAAAGTTATAGTGCTTAGAAGGAGGCAATTCCGGGAGAAGTCCCTTAGGAATAAATTCGGAAAAATTAATTTCCGACCTCACTGGGATTCGAACCCACGACCTTCGGATTTGTACACCGATGCTCTACCAGCTGAGCTACAAGGCCAGACTGGGAGCAGGTCGGGGTGAAATAGATGTTAAGGTAGCGGTAATAGAATAATGTAAAGATATGAATATGAAGACCGCATGGCACTAGGATAAACATGATATAGAAATGAAAGNTTCTATTACCGCTACCTTAACATCTATTTCACCCCGACCTGCTCCCAGTCTGGCCTTGTAGCTCAGCTGGTAGAGCATCGGTGTACAAATCCGAAGGTCGTGGGTTCGAATCCCAGCGAGGTCGGAAATTAATTTTTCCGAATTTATTCCTAAGGGACTTCTCCCGGAATTGCCTCCTTCTAAGCACTATAACTTTCTTTCATTTCTATATCGTGTTTATCATAGTGCCATGCGGTCTTCATATTCATATCTTTACATTATTCTATTACCGCAACCTTAACATCTATTTCACCCCGACCTGCTCCCAGTCTGGCCTTGTAGCTCAGCTGGTAGAGCATCGGTGTACAAATCCGAAGGTCGTGGGTTCGAATCCCAGCGAGGTCGGAAATTAATTTTTCCGAATTTATTCCTAAGGGACTTCTCCCGGAATTGCCTCCTTCTAAGCACTATAACTTTCTTTCATTTCTATATCGTGTTTATCATAGTGCCATGCGGTCTTCATATTCATATCTTTACATTATTCTATTACCGCAACCTTAACATCTATTTCACCCCGACCTGCTCCCAGTCTGGCCTTGTAGCTCAGCTGGTAGAGCATCGGTGTACAAATCCGAAGGTCGTGGGTTCGAATCCCAGCGAGGTCGGAAATTAATTTTTCCGAATTTATTCCTAAGGGACTTCTCCCGGAATTGCCTCCTTCTAAGCACTATAACTTTCTTTCATTTCTATATCGTGTTTATCATAGTGCCATGCGGTCTTCATATTCATATCTTTACATTATTCTATTACCGCAACCTTAACATCTATTTCACCCCGACCTGCTCCCAGTCTGGCCTTGTAGCTCAGCTGGTAGAGCATCGGTGTACAAATCCGAAGATCGTGGGTTCGAATCCCAGTGAGGTCGGAAATTAATTTTTCCGAATTTATTCCTAAGGGACTTCTCCCGGAATTGCCTCCTTCTAAGCACTATAACTTTCTTTCATTTCTATATCGTGTTTATCATAGTGCCATGCGGTCTTCATATTCATATCTTTACATTGTTCTATTACCGCTACCTTAACATCTATTTCACCCCGACCTGCTCCCAGTCTGGCCTTGTAGCTCAGCTGGTAGAGCATCGGTGTACAAATCCGAAGATCGTGGGTTCGAATCCCAGTGAGGTCGGAAATTAATTTTTCCGAATTTATTCCTAAGGGACTTCTCCCGGAATTGCCTCCTTCTAAGCACTATAACTTCTAAGCACTATAACTTTCTTTCATTTCTATATCGTGTTTATCATAGTGCCATGCGGTCTTCATATTCATTACTACAATAACACCACGGCTTATCGTCACCCACTTTTTGTGGACAATCCGTTACTAATGGCCAGAATTATATGCCCCCGCAAATTAAAGACTGTCACGCGTTAAGACGCCTACTTCTCGAGGACTTAAAGAAACAGACAAACAAACAAAAAACGAACTTATAGCAATAATCTTAGTTGCGAGGGCTTACCAGCAGTAACAATGTATCGTCTAGCTGGTGGATTTGGTTGAAAACAATGCGAAGCAGTAACAATCCAATTAGGTGCGATGATACTGCCACCACAAAATTGGTTTCTCCCAAAACGTAGTCCTACTGCTACCTGCCATGGCCAAGAACCTTTCTCAGCTATGTTTCCATTAACGATTCTTTCGTTCCCTATGACTTTTGTTCCACATCTGACTAAAGCTTTTGTAGACAATGAATAAAAAGTAAATTGGATATTAGTTTGATTAATTTATAGTCATCGGGCTTGCTGTGTGACAAATCAGCTTATCAAGCAGCTATTTTGATTGCCCTATTTCAATATGACGTCACACTACGTTTACACAGGCAAACGATGCTCAAAAACAGTGGAAATGTGAACCCAATTATATTGTCTACTAAAGTAGGACTTCATATATAAATGATTGCTCATGTACATTTATTCGATATGCAGTCAATCTGATCCATGCTTCTGGCGACCATAATCCTTAGCGTTAAAACAATAGAATGTTCTGATGTGACTTCATAATGAACTAGGGCAATTCGTGACATCCAACTATTGAATTGTTATTTCTGTTTTTTAATCATTCCCACAAAGTTCAATGGACAAAATAACTGTGGGCATGTTGTAAAATTATATGAATAAGATAAAATTGAAGTTTTAATATTATTCGAGTATCTTTTAGGCGATATCTAGATCGATAAGCTCATAAGCTCAAAATATATTATTGGTCAAGTGAAAATATAAGTATAAAAAAAGCAAGAAATAAAGAAATGGAAGTAAATAAGGGAAAGCAAATTTCGTGCTTTGATTGATTTTGCAAAGGAAAAGAGAATGATGATGGCGCTCAATTTCCATAACTTAACCGAAACTTATACAATTTACAATTTCGATTCGTTCTGAAGGTTGGCTACAAATGAACTAAACACAAATTATTTTTTTAAAAACGTTCTCGTCAACTTACCTTCTGTGAAGCACAAAGCCCCAAGAAACATTACAGATACCACAAACAATTTCATCTCGTAAAATTTCGATGTACTAGGGAATGCAATCAGTTGTTCTAAATAAAAGAAAGTTTTATTAGTCCAAAATTTTATCAATATGAAAATAACATACGTCATAAAAGCAAAAACTAAGGCTTTTGACTGGGCATACATTCTAAGAATCAAATCAAAGTATCAAAAGTATCAAAGTCAGGAATTTTCTTTATTGCAATGCAAGCCGGAAATAGATTTGGAACTTGAAAATGAATAGCACATAAATTATGTTAATTCCTTTGTCTAGTTTGAGGACAAGGAATCCGGGGAAAAAAATTGCTGAAATATTTGAGTCATTTTCATCCGTCTGTGAAACAATTACTACTAGTCAGTGTTTAATAGTAACTATTAGGGTGTAGTAGGCTACCAAAATGCAAACTCAAAACCGTGTTTGCCTAAATAATTTGTCGCATGACATAAGTTAAACTATTGGGAGCTAATAGGGGGAAATAGTATTTAATAGTACAATTCCTATTTCACAGACGGATGAAAATGACTTTACTATTTACTGCTAAATAGTGTTAATGTGACAATAGAGAACAAAGGGATTCGCAAATTTGGTAATTTTTGTACAATTCTCTTTTCACGGATTTAGTAAGTTTGCTCTTTTTATAAGGCTTTTAGACAAATTTGTACAAATTAGTACTACATGCACAGTGAATTTTATGTGTGTTCAAAATTAGGTTTCTTACCTTCACGTCACAGCACACGACGAGATCAGCTGAATCTGACTGAATTTAGCTTTTGTCTTGAATTGATATTAGTTGTCGAAAAACAGGTCATGACAAATTTATGTGTCATCTAAGTCATGATGGTGGTTGCCTTTAATTTAAACTGTTAATATATGATAGTATGGTTCATTGAGTAATTGTAAGAAGATTTTTTAGCTTTTTGCAGATGCACCAGGTATTTAAAACGTCGGGACATAAAAAAGTGGTGTCTAAATGGTTTATTGTGAATTTTACTCGACGTTTTAGCGGCATAATTATCTCCTGAGTTCAGCTTTTCCCGCGTTCCTTTGCAAGTTAACCAAGTGCTAGCGGGTCATAGAAGGTGAGGGTCACCTGTCAAGATCTATATAGTTCCTATTCAAGTTAAAAAAACTCCCGAGTGTTCAATAATACACTGAAATTTTGACTGACAAACATTTAATTAAAATTTTGCCTCCACTTACTTTGTTGATGAGTTCTTCTGGAAATCTTTGAGTTAAGGCAGAAAACGCACATGAAACTGAATTTCACTAACAAAGTGGATTGTGTTGTTGACGTTGTTTGTTATTTTGCTTCGGTATAATTCCTTAAATTTATCGACTTTTTAAGAAAAACATTAATTTAGCAAACAAGAATAATTGCTTTTTCTACAGTGAAGTCAGCCGTTTTACAGGTACCTATTAGTCTCACAACAATTAGTCATCTCGATCAAAATAAAACTCTTTTCCTCACGGAAAAGATAATCTATACAAAAAAATAGTGGTCGTTCATCTCTCAATTTTGGTACGTTTGAAAGTTCTTGGGACGAGTCTCAGGAGAAAAAAAAAGGATTGTTTATTGTTTCCGTGAACCCTTTTCAGTGCTTAGTCCGTCAAAATTCCGAAAGTTGGCTGTTCGGGCACCTATGTGTCTACAGCTCTCGACGAGACCAGCTTTAAGTCGATCGGCAAACTTGTTTACATGTCATGATTCGCCCCATTTAAACCATTAAAAAAATTCTGAATCCAGGTCGTCACACGAATCCTTCTTGCGTTACATGTTGACTTAAAGGCCCAGTCTGCACCATTATGCTTTGGGGGCCGCGAGGGTCGGGAGGCGGCCATTTTCAGTTTACCGAAAGTCAATAAATTTTACTGTGTGTTTCGAATCCTTGACCATCTCACTTTTCTACGGTAATATAAGAGTTTTCAACCATCTGAAATTCGTTTTATGGTGATATTTGGATACTAGAAGTATTTTGGTGTAAATCATAACAATAACAGAGGCGTGCAAAGCATAATGGTGCAAACTGGGCCTTTAATTATTTCACCATTTATAATTTATAATGTACAGTCCTAGGAGAAGATATTTTCGCTGTAGGAGAGATTTCAAAACAAATTCAAAGGAGAACACGATTTGAAATAAGTCTGCTCACAGCCGTTCTTAGTGTCTGCTTCCTGTCCACCGGCCCACAGGGCTTTGATCGTTTCTCCAATCAGATTTTGCTTTTCATTTCCTTGCAGCAGTCCACGCCAAAATATTGACCAATAAAAATTCGCGTATTATAAGTTTCATCATACTACTAAGCATGGCGGCTGACATCGCGGACAGTTTTTGTGTTTGCTGCTCAAAATTGGTGCTTAAATTTGCACCAGAAGCTTGCCATTACAAAACCTATAAATGAAAAACGAAATGTGTTTGTTAATTTACCTACTGCTGGCTTCGGTGAATCATCTTTCAAGCTTTACCTATAATCCTCGATCATTCAACGAAACGTCCAGGTCACATAACTGCTGTTGTCTCACCATTACTGATCTCAATGGCCGATCAAGTTCAATATTTACGATCGATTGGTTTGTGGGTCGTAGGGACAGAGAGCCCGGCAGTAAAAACGGCTGCGAGGAGACTACATTTGAAATGAGTGTTAAAAACTTTCAAATGCTCCGATCTTAAAACTATACGAAGAAGGCTCAGTCCCTCCCAGGTCCTTCCATTAATTTGCTAAGCAAAAAAATGTAAACTCAATTCCTCGCATTTTTCCATTGAATTATTAAAACAAAGAACATGGCACCGTGAAAACATTTTAATGAAATACTGATTTAAGGTCATTTAACAAACAATGATGATGTTACACTCGTACCAGGCCCCTGATTTCAAAGAGAGCGCAGTTTTTGAACTGGCGAAAAATTTTAAACAGCAATATTTAAAATCTTGAATTTTCCAATGATCCAATTAAAAATAATTTTGCAGCAAATTACTATTTTAATAGGAAAGATTATTCGAGAATTTGGAGAAATGGAGTTCATTTCCGTATTTTCACTGATAACAGCGATTCTTTGTATAATAGATGAGGTGACGGTTTTGTCCGCCATCTTGGACCGGTAGGCATAGTGTCGCAAAATAACAAGGAATGACCGGGAAATCGATGTCAAATAATTCTCGCTGAATTCAAATTCAGAAAGAATTATCATTTGCAAACGTTAGATACTGCAAAAAGGAGTTAACTGGCCAAATTTGAAAGGCGTACTTGATCTAGAGAGCGAGTAAACTCATTTTTAGTTCTCCATACATTTCTTTGTAATTTCAATACATTTCGTTATAATTTCCGGGGTCATCAGTGCGTGACGCGCGTGAAAAATACAAAGAAATGTATTGAGAACTAAAAATACATTTTCTCGCTCCCTAGACCAAGCACATCCTTCAAATTTGGCCAGTCAGCTCCTTTTTGTAGTATCTAACGTTTGCAATTGATAATTCTTTCTGAATTTGAATTCAGCGGGAATTAAATATTTGACATCGATTTCCCGGTCATTCCTTGTTATTTTGCGACACTATGCCTACCGGTCCAGAATGGCGGACAAAACCGTCACCTCATCTATTTAAAATATTACGAAATACTTCATCAAATTTCTCCTCGTCTACGTTCGATCATTGTACAATAATCACTAATTCCCGCCAGTATCTCCAACACTATTACCATTAGACCGAAAAATATCCCTACATTGAAAATAATAAGTGCCGGCATAATAAAAGCGAGTAAACAACACGTTTGAGTTTATTCATTTATTCGGAGATTCTGTATCAGTTACTTTTCATAGTGCTCTCGACCCAGTCTTTAAGGTCCACTACATTCGCATAAACGCCATATGTTCGAGGGAGCGCGCACCCTCTTCCAAAGCTCACAACGCCAGCGAGATCCCAGAAACCAGATCGGTTCTTACAGACCAGTGGACCACCACTATCACCCTGACATGAGTCTTTACCCCCACTTCTAAAGCCAGCACAGAGCATGCGTGATGTAAGGCCACTGTTGTACCGACTACATTCCCTTGTGGAAACCAGGGGAACCTGCACCTATAAAGGATTTTGTAAATAAATCGTTACAATAGATTGATAACAAGTGGATTACAAAGTTCAAATCATGCAATAAAAAGCCGCTATTACTAGCTTTGTTAGTTACATAATATTATACCGGTATGTCATATATTATAACCAGTCCACATCAATGTCCTAGAGCAAATGCAGGCAACCCATGAAGTATAATCAAACTAAATACTAACAAATAGCGGCTATTTAGAGACAATTTGTCAGTACCAATGAACCAGAACACAATGAAGATGAATCCACATGGGACCATTCTTAATTCATGTTTATTGCGTTCTGGTTTATTCATAATGACAAATTGTCTCTAAATAGCCGTTATTTGTTAGTATTTAGTTTGGTTTTATTTCATGGTTTTCCTGCATTTGCTCTAGTAGTTCTAGTGATGTTTAGTATATACAGCATAAGTTAGAATACTAATCAAAGTCGGTTTTCATGGTACCCGCACTTTGATATGTGGTCTTTTGGAAAGAGGTACATAGGGGAGCTAGGGAGAATAGAAATAAGTATCTACCTGTCGAAGTCTCCATGGAGATCGCCCACCGTCGGTAAGATCTCCCCAACCAGTAACATAACAATTAGTGCCAGGAGGGTAACTTTGTGTTGGAAGGCAAACAGGTTGGACCTTGTCACTGTATGTGATACTCTTTTTCAGTTTCATCAGTGCAATGTCATAGTCATATTTGTGGTTTTTTTTTTCGTTGTAGTTTGGATGCAGGAAGATCTTTTCGACCTCCATAGCTTGCTCGTCACTTTCTTGTCTCCCGAGATGGTGCTTACCTGATGATTGACATGTGTAAAATATGATTATCATGCATCAAACCAAACGAAACTAATGTAGGATATACATGTACTACATTACTGTAATTTTCGACACATCAGGATGGATGACTTAGGATGCTATGGTGTATTTTTTTTCCCGCCATCAACTACAAAACGATTCGACACAGGGAATCCATCACAACACAAGGAACCCAATACATTTGTCTTTTGTTTGCGTTCGATCGTTTTCCGTTGGTGACGGGTTAGCCATACTCGGCGAGGTAAATGTGCTTTTTAAACTGAATTCGTTTTTAATAAACAATTGTTTTCACTGGAAAAAATCGCGCGCTTTAAAGGTTGTAAATTTGATGTATTCTGAAGTAAGTGTCCAAAATTCTGTAAATTTGATGTAAATGATTTCCATTAAATTTACAGAATTTTGGTTACTTACATCATAATTACATCAAATTTACAACCTTTAAAGCGCGCGATCTTTTCCACTGTTTACAAGAGAATCCTTGGCAATGGATGTCACTTGGTCTTCTGTCTTCTTCACTTTACGAGGCATCCGCCATTTTGATATTTCTACCAATACTACCTTTGCATTTCGCCCAAACGGAAAAGGCGTCAACAAATCGAAAATAAAATTAGTAATCATGCTTCTTTAATTAGCTTACCAACTCTGACAATGTATCGCCAGGCTTTTGGATCCGGTTGAAAACAATGGGAAGCGGTGACAATCCAATTAGGTGCGATGATGCTACCACCACAAAATTGGTTTCTTCCAGAGCGTCTGTTTATTCCTATCGCTACTTGCCATGGCCACGCTCCTGGCTCAGCTACCTCTCCATCAACAATTCTTTCGTTTCCTATGACCTTTTTTCCACACTGAACTTTCGCTATGAATACATACATTATTATATTGATTTATATTTTACGAAATTGTTTCTTACGGCTGAAGCGTAGGATATAAGTCTAACATAAGGCAAGCACAAGTATCAGAAGTACACATAAAACCAGGCGTCTGCTCAAGCCGAGCTGGAAATGGTTTTGACTTAACAGTTATGTAATGTAATTTTATCTATCTCTTAGAATTAACTGAGCAGTTTTTACTTGCACAAATAGAGTATATTAAATGGGCGCGCGGCGATAGGGACTTCGAGTGTTGAAAAGATCTCTCACGAGTGATCATAGCGCAGTAAAATTGTTTTCTTCCAGTTTAGTCAATTACCTTTGGCGGAGGCGAAGAACAATGCCCCTAGAAGAATCAAAGATACCACAAACAACTTCATCTCATGAAATTTCGATTTGGTTGGAAGTGCAGTCTGTTGGCATAAATCAAGAAATATTAGTTCTAATCAAAGCTTTTATTAATCAACAATTTTTTAAACAATTTTTAATCAATTTTTTAATCAATTTTTTAAACAATTTTTTAAATATAGACCAGTGAGCGGCACGGCTTTTCGACTTGTAAACTTTTAATTTTTCCTACGCGTTTCGTTTGTATTCTGCAAACTTCATCAATGACTTTAAAATCTAATTGAAAATCTATACAACTTATATAATAACCATATACACCTAATTGAAGAAACGTTGTCGGGTCCAAAAAGGTCAAATCATAGAAGCTAACACCGAAAGGGTACTTGGGAAGACAAACAATTTGGCTAATTTCATAAAAAAATAGCTCATCTCCAGCATAAAAGACTATCATGCTGTTAATTTTACTAGCTCTACTTGCTTAGTGTACACCGTATATGCAAATGTAATCCCAATTTAGTCGTACTCAAAATCCCTTTCGGTCTTAGCTTCTATGATGCGACCTTTTCGAACATGACTACGTTTTTTCAATTAGGTGTATCATGTACGTGCTATGTGCACATAGTACAAGTAAAACGTGTACAGGAAAATAAGTGATAAATGTGACGTTGAGGAAGGGTTTGGGGCCCGCAGTTTTAGCGCTAATTTTTTAAACAATTTTTTAAATAATTCTTAAAAAAAAGTGTTTCTACTTTTGTTTTGTTTTGGTTACTTGGGATTTTCAGCTCACGCGATCAAGAGAAAAGGAGAAATGACCTGACGAAGTTGACCAAAATGACAACGAAACGTAGTCAGCAAAAAATTCCAAAATAAATACAACACGGCACATAGAGAAAATTTACCAATCATTAATTGTAAAAACTAGTGTAAAATTATCAGTTCAAAAGTAGGAGCGTAATCTTATGTAAATCCACATACCTATCAATCAAACAAATGCAATGATTGACTTTCTTACCTTGGTGTCACAGCACACGACGAGATCAGCTGAATCTGACTGAATCAAGCTTTTGTGTTGAATTGATATTGAGTTGTTTCAAAGCAGGTCATGAGAAATGTTTCCATGCATGGTGATTATCGGCATGTTGCCTTTTATGTATTATTCAATCTGCTAATATAGCATAATGTTGGTTATTAATAAGTAATAAAAGGTTTTTACTATATGGCAGATTATAGGAGAGTTTAACACTATTGTCACTACCCAAACGGTGAATTTTACTCGAAATGTTTTTTTTGGGAACATAATTTTCTTGTGAGTTCAAGCCACTCGTCATTATCCAGCAGTTTTTAGTAAAATAAAAGAATAAACACAAAAGCTGCTGATTCAACAAAATCACTCATTGAATCTTTTTCATTAAAATTCTTGCTGCTTACATTTATTTTGTTCTGACGAATTGTAGCTTGAAATAAGCTCAAAACGTGGTAGGGTATCCAAGTTTAAAGCTGAAAGGCACGAGAGAACTTTGCTGTTAATGCTGTTTGTTATTTTCTTTCGGTAAGTCCTTCATTCATTGGTTTAACAAGAACTTAATTAGTTTAGCAAACAAAAAATGATTACATTTTACAGGTACTTGACAGCCTAAAAACAGTGCCACTGGAGCTCACAAATATGCGTCCTCTCGATCAAGACAAAACTCGTTTCCCAAGTTAAAAATATATTAAAAATATAGTGAAAAATAAAAAAATAGTGATTGATCACGAGGGTCAGGAGAACAAAAGGATTATTAAGGACGTTCGAGGGCATTGCTACTGCGTACGCTTTCTGCGCACGCCCAAACCGGAAGTTGTCACGAAATTGCATCACGCAAAACAAAGATGGCGACCGCTCTTGTTATGTGTTTATGAGGTTTTGTACGTACTTTTCTGAACTTCTACTTGAATGAAAAATGTCTTCGTGTTCAAAAAATGAGAGATTTACTACTGCTAAAGAATTGATGAGGCGAAAAAGTGTTGAAAATGCTCTAAAAAGTCGTAGATTGGCAGAAAAAAGTCTCTCGCAATTCAAGATGGCCTGCAAAATCTAAGATTTCGACACGAAATATTTCGACAACGAACCCGGTAACCCCAATTTCTATTTATCTTAAAAGAAGGCTACTTGGAAAAAATATAACATATGTGAAAGCGGAAAAAACGACAACAGAGGTTTCTGAAATATAGCAGTTTTAGCTGGAAATGACACCTATTCTTGACGTCGAATGTGGCGGCCTTACACGAACAAAAGTCCTAAAGAAATCAAAAATCACATCATGTAATGTTTCAAAGTCTCGTAAACAATATTAACAATTATCGACCTCATCTTTTGTGGAAAAATTTGGATCAATTGATATGTGTTTTATATTTTTCGGGAAGTTTTTTGGTAGACGGCATCGACCCCTTTTCGCGCGCTTTTCTTTGACAATTTTGGTGATTTTGTGCAAGAATTATCTCTAAAATGAAGCCGGTGACCTCCACTTTTTTATCGCTTTTTTGCAAGTTTATGTCATCGCGTATTTCCCCAAAAAATTTCATCGAATTGACATCACGGAATCCAATGCCAATGAACGTCCTTAA